CTGGAGAACTTCTGGGTAAAGCTTGACCTCGATGTTACTGTCCGTTCTCCTTTGATTTCCCTATTTTGTGTTACAAGAAAACCAATTAAATGAGGTTGAACCAAATAACGCGCACTGATAACAATTGGGACGAGTGAGGGGTGAGATCGTGAGTATAGGTCGAGGAAAGACAATATCTTGCTTCTTTCCGATTTTTAAATAGACATTATCAATTTCAGTCCAGCAAGCCTTTACGAAAAAGTAACAGTAAAGCAAGAAAACAGTAACTTACCCTTCAATTCCTGGTTATTTTGCCACATCGAAGCAAAGCATGCAGCTGTATGTTTAGAAAGTGCTGAACCGTGCCGATCTGCTGCCCTTTGACATCTCCTAAAGTGTATGTCTTTCTCTGCGATTTGCTGAAAATCTGGACTTCTCGTAGCGCCTCTGGAATACGTTCCATTTCTCGTGGAAGAAGACAAGCCAGTGCATGCGAGTCATACGTGTCGTCGTCTTCACTTTGAATAACAAGCGGTGTTCCACGTGTAGCTTTGATCTTGAAATTATGATACCTTGAAAATAAACGCCAATAAATACATGAGTGGGATAAAATAAAATCAAGTAGTCACAATCTATATTAAGACGAATATACATGATCGAATTCAATGCAAGAGAATCATACAAGGTATTCGCGCTATTGATCGATTCGCGGGAGAATCTAGGTCTCAGAACACTACAAATTCGGTCCTACAGCTTTTAGTCAGCAATAATATGTCCTTTACAATTACCCTTTGATTTGAACACCCTGTATAGAAAGTTTGTTTCGGTAATCACCGCAAAATGTGAAAGCACGAGCGGTGTTTCTAAACGAGTTTCACAATTACAGACAAGTCCCTTGTGGTTTTAGACGAACATTTCACTCTCATCAGTTCGTGTAGTTAAACTCTAACCTTTGTTTCCGGAATGCTGTAATAGAGACACTTCGGCAAGGCTCTCCACCATTGTGATTTCTTTATTTTCATCTTCATGCCGCTCTTATCGCACATTTCCCGGATACGATACCTAAAGATGTGAGAGCTAAGTGAACGAATACCTCTTTGTTTTATGTTTGCCCGAAGGAGAACTTACTCGCTGGATAATCACATTTATGTGTTAGATCCGTGGTTTCCTGAAATTATTTTTTAGTGTGCATTCGCCTTGGCTGAATGAATCTCTCTGATGTCAAGATCGACATTGATTCGAAATTTCATCAAGAGCTCCGATTTAAAAGATTCTTTGTTTGTAGCACTGACCCAGGTCCGTGGCAGATTTGTGCCACAAAGACGACAAATTGTCTCGAGATACAGAATGTGGTCATCCATGCTGTTGGCTTGATCTGAAATTCACAATGTAGGATTATAAAGGTCCGATAAATAATTGTCCTTTTACTTTAAATTGGTCGGCCACAACGTATGGTTAAAATTTATGGTTTACACGATACTCCGATGGATCTGAACAAAGGAATCCGTCTGGTAGTTTGCACACTGACAGACTTTCAACATTCGTGCATTCGAGCAAAAACTCGTGCACTCGATTGGAATTTTGACAAATTGGAAGCAAATTTATTCTACTTTTTTAAAATATTTTTTTTAGGAATCAAAAAAAATGTTGCATACCTGAAAACCTCAACTAAATAGAGGTTATTCCTCGATCGAGCCCTTCGCAACATAGACCTCCACCCGACTTTTCATCTGAATTTTTCCTTCTCGTCATCGCGACCACCATCAGTTCTTTGCTTGTTGTGTGTAATTGCTTGTCTTCTGTAATTTTGCAAGGTTTCATCGGATATGGGTAGGGAACTAAGTCGCTAGGGCTCAAATAAAGTAATGAGTGAGTTTCCTCGATGTCCCACTACGACATCCATGTTGGTGACGTCATCAAGTATCCAGAAATGGTTATGGCCCGGACTGGAAAAACTTAAACGGACTGAGCGCAAAAATAAAAAAAAAAGAATCAAAACCATCTTCAGCTACCTTAAAACTAAAAGCTCTGAGCACGATGGACTGTGTGTTTTTTTGAAATAAGTTTAAAAATGAAAATAGGAACTAAATAAGTAAACAAGCGATCTTACAGTGTACGTGCTGTATTGTCTAATAAGTTCCCGGCCCTCCTCTACATGTCACTCTGTAATTAATTTAACGGTAACTAACAACAAGAGGAATAACACTGTATTTCAATCCAATATATATTAATACATAAGGTATTTACCTTGGGAAAAGTCGGACAGAATGCCTTCCATCAATTCGCGCCGTCGAAATTTTCAACACTCTTATCTGCAGATTTAACAAACTTACAAACATCACAACTAATCCCTCTTTTTAGCGTGGAGTGCATTCGGTTGCAAGGCTGCAGAAAAAGTGTCAGGGAACAGCAATCATCCCAACACCAAAATCAGCCACTGCTAATTGCATTGGTTTTGGTGCGAAGCTGACGTTTAGTGCAGACGAGGAAGATGACAAATCCATCTACAACCATCGTGAGAATGCTGAGGAACCAGCCGAGAACCCAAACCCACGTTTCTATTGAATTTCTTCTAAATGGCTGTCTAGAACTTTTCAATCGCTTTCTTCTGTCAAGCCAATAATGTTTTGAAAGGTTTTTAAGCATGGAAAATTTAATTGTGTTTATATAGAGTTTTCATTCAACCTTCTGGCTTCATCTAAGCTACGCACGAAGAGTTAATTAGGGCAATATATATATGCTGTTTAATTAAGTGCTATTCAGAGCTACAGACATCTATCACTTAATAAGGTTCTTGTCAGACGCTTCGTGCACGGAGTTTGACGTCTGTTTTTTGGTTTTCAAGAAGAACGAACCAATCAGAAATTGATGACAAACGCGGAACATTCTTTCCTTCATCTTCTAATGTGTTTTAATTCAAAGGAAATTACGGCAGTCCTTTTTTGAGACTATCAGTACAGCATGATAGTGCAAATAAGATGCGAATCAGCGAAACTTAGTCAACGACAAATATTTCAAATAACAATATTTCCAAAATTATCAACCGGTCAGTGTTAAGCGTAAGTCGCCCCCTTTTATTATTAAGTTAAAGACGTTTTAAGCACTGTCCAGTTGTAAAGCATTTCGGAAGCGGCGTTGTTTGTATTTTGACTCGCCATACGAGCTCATGAAAATACGGCGCAACTCGCAAAAATACTCAGCGATGCTGAGAAATTAAATTAGATAAGAAATTAAAAGCATTTCACAAATACTTATCAAGAAAACGTAACGTTGTAAAATTTCATGAAAGCGTTGGCCTTTGACAATCTCTAATGACATACGATCGATGGATTACATGACTTGAATATTTGTCAAGTAGTTCATTTTTAGTCGAACGAAGGTCTTCCTCAACGAGCATCTCCAAGATAAGTTTTCATGGAATAAAAAAGTGTTGGAAATGTTATATCATTGTTACCAACGCTACCAAATACGAAAAATTTCCAAATGAAAACGGGGAAATTAAAAAAAATATGTATACATCAATGAATCTTATGTGGGCATTGACTATGTAAGGTGATCGTCAGTTCCCCGTTAAATTAAACTATGACAGCTCATGGGAAGTTGCATGTATGCAAATCGACTGCCGTTGACGAAAAGTCAGGCAATTCAGCACTTGTTTTCCAGCATTTATCGTTTCAAAGCTATCATGTAGTTTATCAACAAGAGCTTAATACTCTAAAACATTGAAGAGAACATACAAGGGACCTTCAGCAGTCAGGACGGCAACACCAAGGAAGACTTCGATTAAAAAATAAATTTCTGCCTTTAATTAGAATTTAAAAAATGGCTGCATTTGTTTACCATCTCGTACGGCGCCACACCTCAACTTCAGCATAACGTATAAAAGAAGTGTTGAGTTCTAAATGGAAATTAAAACAATTTTCCGTCGCGGTTTCGGTTTGCAGATGACCCAAGTTGTGGTGATTTCACATTGTTGTTTTGCAGAGGACGCTGCTAAATTCCAAGTTATCTCAATTGTTTATATTTTATTTAACTAACTATTAGCTCGCTCGAACTTCCTGGAATCGCGATAATTTGTTTCAATTGCCTTGCGATTTTGCGATAGAGGTCTCTCCTTTTATTTCAAACCATACCTGTCTCGACGAAGAAAATTACGGTCAAAGGACTAGGTGTATTTTTTCCAATTGTCGATAAAGGGTGAAAGGAAAAAAAAAAAGGAAGCGAAAGGAGAAGGAAACGTGGAGTCGAGCATCAACTAACAACCTCGCGCTCATCCTCACGAGCGTCACTTCTTTCGGGGCACTAAAGGACGACCTGTACGTATTTTAACATCTAGAGAATATCAACTGTCGACTCATTCTCTTGACTTCTCCATAACAAAAATTGGCTCCAAGAGACTGATCGTCATTTATCCCCTTTGGGGGATGAGGAGGTTGGACGATGCAGATGGCTACAATGGTCATAAGCGATGCTACAAACAGGAAGATGGCCACGTAAGGCTGCCTAAGCAAAATCTTCGTTCTTAGATCGATAGTAAAACTGGACAAGAAATTGCTTCAGGTTAAGATTTCAAAGGGATTGTTGATGAACGACCTCTATCGAAGAACTGACGGAAATATTGTGCGCAGCTCTCTGTCAACGTTAATATTCTAACCATATTTTGTATGGTATCGTCGGATTTAACTACGCGTGGATCACGCGATCTGTTAAAGAACCGGACATATTAATTGACAAGGAATATGATATATTTTAACTCTTTTTATTTTATCATGCAAAGCAAGCTCATATTTTTAGGGACCAGATGTTTCTTACACCAAAATACAAGTCAGCTTCAATGGTGTAAAGAAAAAACAATACTCCAAAGTAAATTTTGCTGCAAATTAAAGTCAAGTATTTCAAAGCATAGAATGCATTCGGTTGTAACCAGCCGAGAACCCAAAACCACGTTTCCACTGAATTCCTTTTTAATGGCTGTCCTTAACTACTCTGTTGTTCTTGCGTCGGAACTATTCTGTTGTTAATTAACGACGCCTTTTGAAGAGAAGCCTTTTGCATTCTTGTTTTATATCTCTTTTGAAGAAAGCATAAGCTATAGGATTTATTCCAGAGTTAATAACTTGTAGAGGTATTTTGAAATAAAAATCGTTACATGATTTATTACCAGTTACAAATAACAAACTACAACGCATCATTATTCCGTAACACGATAGAAACACACACGTTAACAAAGCCACCCATTTTACTGCTGAAGTGTTCTGAGTTTTAGCTCTAGTAAACAGTTGATTAAACCGCAATTGTTTAACTAAAATGCGATTTCTAGAGTTCAGATTGTAAACAACAAAAAACATGGATGCAAGAAAAAAGATTAGAATCACGCACAAGATTATCTCGAAAAACAAATACAAGTAGCCGAGCATAGTGATTGCACGATGGATTGCACTGAGTTTAATCGACACTAAGATAAGAGTGAAAAGAGAAGGAATTACCCAAGATGTTAAAACCATGTGAATTACTCGACGGCGCGTCATAAAAATCAAGTATTTCAAAGGTTTCACAACAGCAACATAACGTTCCAGTACTAAATTAACCAAGTTCGTTCCAGAGGCGTAAAAAGTGAACACCCTTATAACAATTATTTCTTCGTTTGAGTGTGGAGTGCATTCGGTTGCAAGGCTGCAGAAAACGCTTGAAGGAACAGCGATCATCCCAACACCAAAATCAGCCACTGCTAAAGATACGATTAATGCGTTGGTTTTGGTGCGAAGCTGACGTTTACTGCAGACGAGGAAGATGACAAATCCATTCACAACCATCGTGAGGACGCTGAGGAACCAGCCGAGAACCCAAAACCACGTTTCCATAGAATTCTTCTAAATGGCTGTCTAGGACTTTTCAGTTGCTTTCTTCTCTCAAGCCAAGAGAGTTTTGAAAGGTTTTAAGGATGAAAAATTGTGTTTATCTATAGTTTTTAATCAACCACCTGGCCCCATCTGACCTGCGTAAATGTTAATTAGGCAGATATCTATTGTTTACCTTAGTCATATTTAAGGCTGCAAACATCCATCACTTTTTAAGGTTTTGTCAGACGCTTTGTGCACGGAGTTTAGCGCCCGTTAATTGGTTTTCAAGAAGAACGAACCAATCAGAAATTAATGAAAAACGTGGGTCATTTTTGACTTTTTTTGTGCTTTAATTCAAAGGAAATTACGGCGGTCCTTTTTAAGAATATCAGTAGCGAAACTTAGCCAACACCAAATATTTTAAGTGATAATAATTTCAAAATTATCAATTGGTCAGTGTTAAGCGTAAATCGCCCCCCTTTACCATCAAGTTAAAGACTTTTTACAAATAAAGAAGCCTCGAAGCTCTATGTCGTCGTAAAGTACTTCGGAAGCGGCTAGAGCGCGAAAGTGATGTAGGGGAAAAAACGAGACGCAGTGGAATGCTTTCCCTACTTCTTAGCGCTTGGTATGTTTGCAGACGTTTGTTTGCCTTTCCTGTTGCTAGTTGCCGGCTTTGTGTTTTCGTCGGTTACTTTGCCGAAATTTTACTTTCCATCTCCGTGTAATTTGTGCTGTTATCGACAGCTTGCTCTACATCAGTTGACACCAAATAACTCGTTTTCATACTCGTTTTAAAGGTCATCATGTGCAAGACTTGTGGGTGAAGTGCGTCACTTTTCTATGAAAACATAACTTTGTAAAATTTCCTGAAAGTGTTTGCCTTTGACAATCTATCTTGACATACGACCGATGGATTACATGACTTGAATACTTATTAAGTAATTTATTTTTAGTCGAAGGAAGATCTTCTTTAACGAACATCTCCAAGAAAATTTTTCATGGAATAAAATAGTCATGTTGTTACCTGCGCTAGCAAATGTGAAATATTTCCAAATAATTCACATCTAATCTAATATCGGCTTTGACTGACAGAGGTGCAATTCACCGTTAAATTAAACCGTGACAGCTCACAGGGAAGTTGCAAGTAAGCAAATTAACTGTCGTTAAATTCAGGCAATTCAGCTCTTGTTCTTCAGCATTTATCGTTTCAAAATTATTATTGATGTACTTCTTCAACAAGAACACAGTACTTTAATACATTGAATGGAACATACAGCGGACTGGCGGACTGTTGTAAAAAAGCAGCAAAATTGAGGAGGAAAACTATTCTTTTTACTCTATATCATTAAAATATACAACGCAAGCTCATAGTTATAAGAACCACATGTTTCTAAGACTAAAAGACATGCCAGCCTAAATGATTAACTTGAAAAAAAATATTTTATCCAGTAAAGTACGGCCTCAAAATAATCAAACTACTCAACACTACTTCTCTTAAAAAGGTGACTTATCTTTGTTTCAGCGGAAGCTATTAAAGTGAACAGCAATAAAGATGATAATGAATATGTCACGGATAGATTCTGAACCGGATGTCCGCGGGATCTAGGAAAGTTTTAAATATATGCATCAGCTACTGTTTTTCTTGCGTCGAAACTACTCTGTTGTTAAATAAAGTACGCCTTTTAAAGAGAAGCCTTCCGCATTCTTGCTGTATATCTCCTTTGAAGAAAGTATAAGCTATAGGGTTTATTCCAGAGTCAATAACTAGAAGAGGTATTTTGAAATAATAATCGTTACATAATTGACCAGTTAAAAATAAAAAACTACCACGCATCATTATTCCGTAACACGATAGAAACACAGACGTTATCAAAGTATATAAAGTAGTCATTGCTCTATCATTGTGCTTGACCTCGGGAGCTCTTTCACGTACAATCATAGCGACCAAAATAGTCTAAAATTTTCTTTCGAGCCCCATTATTTCGGTCCGGACTTGAGGCTTGCTCAAACAAAAACAGCAATACCAATCCAGTCAGTACAAAATGCAGACCGCAGGCTGCAGACCAGGTACAAAATACAGGCTAGGTAAAAAATGCAGACTGCAGACTGAGTATAAATGCAGACTGAGAATTTTACTGTTTTTTCGTCTGATACATGATAACATTTCACCTTACAACTTATCGAGCGTCACGCAATCGCTTTTCCGCGATCATCTTTTACGATTATTTGCACTATTGTGGAATATTCCTTTTCCCGTCTCTTGATCACAGACGTTCTTTGTATAATTTCAAGCCTTACTAGAGTCTTCTCACTTTGCGCGCGCGTTGGTTGATGTGATGTCTGTGTAGAATTTACCAACTTAATAAACGTGGATGTAGTTGTAGTTGTAAATGAGATGTCACTATCGACTATTTAACACGCGCAATATTCGAGAAACAATTGACAACTTTGCATGTGGTCTATACGTTTCATCTTTTTAACCGATACGTGTTCACTTTGTTGACAAAAATGCGGGCCGGGATCAAAACTGTTCCCTCAACTTGATATATTTTTAACGTCTAGGGCTGTTCACACACTGATTTTCACATATGTGCCTTATAATGTTATTGGCTTACATGAGGAACCGGCGAATTTTTATAGGGAAAAGCGAAGCTTTGCTTCGTGACTGGCCATTTAATTACTTTTCCGGTGGTTTTTATCTCTCATTTGCTTGGTAAGTACGCAAATATTAATATGTGAAAATCAGACTCTGTATGAAGGCCTGAAATATTCTATTAAGAACGATTGTGGACGCTTTGTTAGAAACCAAATGCAACGGCCGCTTTGTTAAAAACAAAAGATATCAAGAAACGGGCAAGGAATATTTCACAATAGTGTAAATGATCGTGAAAGATGAGGGTTACAAACATTTTGCTTCCAGAGCAACATTTGATGCCTGATCATGCCCACCCAGCACACCCTCCGCCCCACAAACACCCACACACACAGACAAAAAGAACACTTTCTGCCTGATGACCTCTGCCCATCCCACCTACAGCCCACATAATTTTATTTCCAGTTCCCACCACGACAAATGCACAAGTTATCTTATCACACAACTTCAAAAAGAAAAGAAAATTTATTCCAGAAGTCTTGAAATTTCACATAAATGGAATTCAGCTGTACCTTTATTCAACAAGTCCGAGATATCAATACAAACTTAAGCCATAACATGAATGAGCTGGCTCCAAGAGCCCTTTGATTAAGAATATCAGTACAGCATGATAGTACAAATAAGATGCGAATTAATGCAACTTAGCCAACAACAAGTATTTCAAATAAAAACAATTTCAACTGATCAGTTATCAATCGGTCAGTGTTAAGCGTAAACCACCCCTTTTTAGTATCAAGTTATAAACGTTTTAACAAATGAAGAAGCCTCGAAGGTTTTGTTGTAAAGCCCTACATTTCTTTGGCGGCTAGAACGCTAAAGAAATGTAGGGAAAAACACGAGACGTAGTGGAATGTTCTCCCCACTTCTTAGCGTTTGGCATGTTTGCACACCTTTGTTTGCCTTTTCTGTTGCAACTTGCCGGCCTGGTGTTTTCGTCGGTTACTTTGCCAAAACTTCACTTTCCATCCCCGTGTAATTTGAGCTGTTATCGACAGCTTGTTCTGCATCAGTTGCAACCAAATAACTCGTTTTCATACTCGTTTTAAAGGTCATCGTATGGAAGACTTGTGGGTCAAGTGCGTCACTTTTCTGTGAAAAAGTGTTTGTTAGAGACACTAGCAAAAATTATAAACATTTCACAAAGACTTATTGAGAAAACATAACGTTCTAAAATTTCCTGAAAACATTTGCATTTGACGACATAGACCGACGAATTACAGAACTAAAATACTTCAAATAATTCATTTTAAGTCGAACGAAGATCTTCTATAACGAGAATCTCCGAAAAAACTTTTCATAGAATAAAAAAGTGTTGGAAATGTTATGTTACCTGACTACCAAATGTGAAATATTTCCTGACGATAAGGGGAGATTAAAAGTTTTATATCAATGAATCTAATATCGACTTTGGCTAACAAAGATGATAATCAGTTCCCCGTTAAATTAAACCGTGACAGCTCATGTGGAAGTTGCACGTATGCAAATCGACTGTCGTAGACGAAATTCAGGGAATTCAGCTCTTGTTTTTCAGCATTTATCGTTTCAAAGTTATCATGTAATTCATTAACAAGAGCTTAATACTCTAAAACATTGAAGGGAACATACAGCTGATTGGCGGACTGTTATAAAAACACGGCAAAATTGAGGAGGAAAATGATATTTTTTACTCTATATCATTAAAACATACAACGCAAGCTTGTAATAATAAGAACCACATGTTCAAGGACTAAAATATATGCTAGCTTAAATGATTAATTTAAGAAAAATATTTTCTCCAGTAAAGTACGGCCTCAAAATAATCAATATGTGGTCTTAAATATTAGAGACATGTAATATCAACACAACTTCCCTTAAACAGGTGACTTTACCTGGAAATTTTTAAGTATATGCATTAGCTAATGTTTTTCTTGCGTCGGAACTATTCTGTTGTTAAATAACGTGCGCCTTTTGAAGAGAAGCCTTTTGCATTCTTGTTGTATATCTCTCTTAAAGAAAGCATAAGCTATAGGGTTTATTCCAGAGTTAATAACTTGTAGAGGTATTTTGTAACGAAAATCGTTACACTTTTGATCAGTTAACAATAACAAACTACAACGCATCATTATTCCGTAACACGAAAGAAACACACACGTTACCAATGCCACCCATTTTACCGCTGACGCCTTGTTTTGAGTTTTAGCTCTAGCGACTGGTTGATTAAACCGTAATTGCTTAGCTAAAGTGCGATCTCTAGAGTACACAACAAAAAACATGGATGCAAGAAGAAAGATCAGCATTACGCACAAGATTATCTCGAAAAGCAAAGCCAAGTAGCCGCGCATAGTCCTGGCATCATCGATTACACTAAGTTTAAGCGACGACACAAAAGTAAGAATGAAAAGAAAAGGAATTCCCCAAGATGTTAGAACCATTTGAATGACTCGACGGCGCTTCATAAAAGTCAAGTATTTCAAAGGTTTCACAACAGCAACATAACGTTCCAGTACTAAAATAACCAAGTTTGTCCCAGAGCTGTAAAGAATGAACACCCTTACAAATATCACAATAATTCCTTCTTTTAAGGGTGGAGTGCATTCGGTTGCAAGGCTGCAGAAAAAGTGTGAAGGAACAGCAATCATCCCAACACCAAAATCAGCTACTGCTAAAGACATGACAAATGCGTTGGTTTTGGTGCGAAGCTGACGTTTACTGCAGACGAGGAAGATGACAAATCCATTTGCAACCATCGTGAGGATGCTGAGGAACCAGCCGAGAACCCAAAACCACGTTTCCATTGAATTTCTTTTTAATGGCTGTCTAGGACTTTTCTGTTGCTTTCTTCGGTCAAGCCAAGAGTGTTTTGAAAGGATGAAAAATGTTATTGTGTTTATATAGAGTTTTTATTCAACCATCTGGCCCCATCCAACCTATGTAAAAAAGTTGATATGGCAATATATGCTGTTTAATTAAGTCATATTCATGGCTGCAAACATCCATGACTTATCAACGTTCTTGTCAGACGCTTAGTGCTCGGAGTTTGACGTCTGTTTATTGGTTTTCAAGAAAAATGAACCAATTGCAATCAGAAATTGATAACAAACACGGAACCTTTTTTGACTTCATCTTCTAATGTGTTTTCATTGAAAGAAAATTACGACAGTCCTTTTTTTAGACTATCAGTACAGCACGATAGTGCAAATAAGATGCGAATTAACGAAACTTAGCCAACAACGAATATTTCAAATAACAATAATTTCAAAATTATCAATCGGCCAGTGTTAAGCGTAAATCGCCCCCTTTTATAATCAAGTTAAAGACCTTTTTAACAAATAAAGAAACCTCGAGGCACTGTTCTTTTGTAAAGCATTTCGGAAGCGGAAGCCGTACGGGCTCGTCAAAATACGGCACAGCTCGCAAAAATACTCAGGGATGCTACACACCAAAAGGTCTAATAAAATATATTTATCCACAACTTTTTCTGCATCGATTGCAATCAAATAACTCGTTTTAATACTCGCTTTAAAGATCATCATGTGCAAGACTTGTGGGTCAAGTGCGTCACTTTTCTTTAAAAAATTATTTGCTAAACACACAAGCAGAAATTAAAAGCATATCACAAAGACTTATCAAGAAAACTTAACGTTGTAAAATTTCCTGAAAGCGTTTGCCTTTGACAATCTCCCTTGACATACGACCGATGGATTACATGACTTGAATCCTTGTCAAGTAATGCATTTTTAGTCGAACGAAGATCTTCCTTAACGAGCATCTCCAAGATACGTTTTCATAGAATAAAAAGTGTTGGAAATGTTATATCATTGTGACCTACGCTACCAAATGTGAAAAAATTTCCAAATGAAAACGGGGAAATTAAAAGTATTTATATCAATGAATCATATATCGGTTTGACTATTTAAGGTGATGATCAATTCCCCGCTAAATTAAACACAGTTCATGGGGAAGTTGCACGTATGCAAATCAACTGTCGTTGACAAACAGTCAGGCAATTCAGCAAATTTTTTTCCTGAGCATTTATCGTTTCAAAGTTATCACGTAATTCATCAACAAGAGCTTAATACTCTAAAACATTGAAGAGAACATACAGTAAAAAACACAGCAAAATTGAGGAGGAAAATGATATTTTTTTTACTCTATATCATTAAAATATACAACGTAAGCTCATAGTTATAAGAAACATGTTTCTAGGACTAAAATACATGCCGGCTGGAATGATTAATTTGAGAAAAACGTTTTCTCTAGTAAAGTACGACCTCAAAATAATCAATTTGTGGTCTTAAATATTAGAGACCTATGTATTATCAACAGTACTCCTCTTAAACAGGTGACTTATCTTTGTTTCATCGGAAGCTTTTTAACTGAACAGCAGTTTAGATAAGAATTAAATGTCACGAATAGATTCTGAACCGGAAGTCCTCGGGATCTAGGAAAGTTTTAAGTATATGCATCAGCTACTGTTTTGCTTGCGTCGGAACTTTTCTGTTGTTAAATAACGACGCCTTCCGAAGAGAAGTCTTTTGCATTCTTTTTGTATATCTCTTTTGAAGAAAGCTTATACTATTGGGTTTATTCCGGAGTTTATAACTTGCACAGGTATTTTGTAATAAAAACCGTTACCACATTTAGTTAAAAATAATAAACTACAATGCAAGAATATTCCGCAATACAATAGAAACACACACGTTACCAAAACCACCCATTTTACAGCTGAATTGTTTCCAATGTGAACTTTAACGACACGATGATGAAAATGCAATTGCTTAGCTAAAGTGTGATCTCAAGAGTTCTGCTTGTAAACAATAAGAAACATAGATGCAAGAAAAAAGGTTAGAATCACGCACAAGATTATCTCAGAAAGCAAATACAAATAGCCGACGATAGTCACCGCAAGATAGAATTAACCGAGATAAAGCAAACGAAAGAGTGAAAAGAAAAGGAATTTCCCAAGATGTAAAAACCATTTGAATGAATCGGCGGCGTTTCATAAAAGTCAAGTATTCCAAAGGTTTCACCACCGCAATGTAGCGTTCTAGTACTAAACTAAACAAGTTTGTTACTGAAGCACAAACGAAGAACATACTTATTATGCGTAAACTTGCTTTTTTATCGGAGATGTACTCATTTACCGTGCTGTAAAGTAAACGTGAAGGAGCAGCAAATATTCCAACGTCAAAATCAGCCATCGCTAAAGACACTACAAATGCGTTGGTTTTAGTGCGAAGCTGACGTTTACTGCAGACGAAGAAGATGAAAAATCCATTTGCAACCATTGTGAGGATGCAGAGGAACCAGTCCAAGATCCAAAACCACGATTTCATTGAATTCCTTGTTTAAGAAAATTTTTAAGCAAAAACCTCTCAAGCAAAAATAATTGTTTATTTTGGGGTTTTATAAAACCATCTAGCTCCCATCAACTTTTAAAAGTACTAAGGACAATGGATGTTTGGTTAAGTCGCATTCAAGGCTGCAAAAATTTATCATCTTAGAACGTTCTGTCACACACCTTCTGTACAGAGTTTGACGCCTGTCACTGGTTTTCAAAAAGAATGGACCAATCAGAAATTGTAAACAACAGTGGAATATTTTTCACTTCATCATCTGATGTGTTTCAATTTCAAAACTACAGCTGAGAGAAGATATGATGTGATTTAGTGAAAATTAGCCCCTATTTGGTCGAGAACAACAAATATTTCAAATGACAATAATTTCAAGCGTGAATCGCCCCCTTTCAATATCAAATGAGTGGCGTTAACAAACAAAGAAGCCTCGAAGCTTTGTTCTGTTGTAAAGCAGTGGGAAGCAGCTGCAGCACAAAAGTAATGTCGGGGGAAACGCGAGACGTGGTCGAGTGTTTTCTTTTTCATTTTTGGCGCTTGGCATGTCTACAAACCTCTCATTTGCCTATCTTGTTGCTACTTGCCGGGTCGGAGTGAATTCGTCGGTAACTTGATCCGAAATTCCATACTCTACCTGCGTGTATTAATATACATGAAAAAATTACGCGGTCTGATTGGCTGAAAACGAGTGCATTTTTCATGTAACACGACACGAGTGCAACTTTGTTGTCTTTGAAAAATTTGCTGATGCCTATTAACACCAAAGTGCACACGAAATCATGTTGTTACCTATATCAAAAATATACATGAAACATTTACGCGTGTCTGATTGACTGAAAACGAGTGCACTTGTCATGTAACACGAATGCAAAGTTGGAACATCAGTGAATGCAAATTATAAATAGCGCGCGCTGTCAAAATTTCGTTTGCCTTGCCTTTGACAGATGCCTTTTTCATGCATATTATAACTAAGTACTGAGCAACGTAATTTCTCCTTCAATTTCTTGTAAAGAGGCACTTGAAAAATTTTCAAAGACTACAAATTACACTCGCCCTACGGGCTCGTGAAATATTTGGTCTCTGAAAAATTCACTCGATTTTTAACACCAAAATTCGCTCGAAATCATGTCAGTACTAACTGTGACCCTTTACGGGGTTTCAGGGAATAAGGTGAAAGCACGCGCACGGCACGTTATAACACGCGCGCACGCTAATGTTATGACACGCTTTCTGTGCAGATATGCACATAAAAACAATTGATTTTGGAACGCTTGTTGTAGCCATTGTTCATATCTGGCTAACACGGTAGAGCATTGTTTCTATAACACGCTGGATTTTTTTTTTTTTTAACACGCTAAGCTCCTTTGTTCCTTAACACGCTAGCTTATCTAGTAGAACCCAGCTAACTCCGTTACTAAATTATTGTGAGAATGGTGTTTGTAAAGTATATTACCTACAGAATATAAGCAAGATCTTCTGTCCTATCCGAAAGTTGTAATAAAAAAAGGAAACATCCACGGCAAATCACGGATCTTTCCCTCAGGATTTTCACAACGAATTCAGTAAGCACGACGTGTTCCACAAGGTCCAGAGGAGTTCAGTTTGAACACATGAATTACTTTTTTAAAACTTAATTATTACCTTGTAAAATATAAATCCTTATCGCTTCGCGAAGTTAATAACCCCAGGACGAATCTTTGTGAATCCTTCAGCGACAGTTTTCCGGCTCCATGTCTCCTACACGGTCGCTGTTCGTCAATCGTTGCAAACCGGCATTTTTAAAATAAATAGCCACTAGTTAGCCGGCGCAAAGCGAAGCCGGCGTGTTATAAAATTGGCACGGTCACCGTGTTATAACGTGCAAAGTTGCGAGCAAGATCTTAACACGTTCCTTTGTTTCTACCGTGCGAAGCAAGACAATAGCAGCCAATTTAATGAGGCAAGTGACTTACACGCAGCTAACGTGTTAAAAGCTCGTTCTTTTGTTTTAGCATGCTAGTGTACCGTGTGCGTGCGGTCACCTTATTCCCTGAAATCCCGTGGAGGGTCACTTATTTGTGCTGTTACCTACAGGTTGTTCCGTGTCACTTGAGGCTAAGCGCTCGTTTCCATATTCGTTTTAAACGTCAGCAAGACGTGTGGGTCAGGTACGCCTTGTCAAAAAGACTTTCCACTAAGACTTTACTGTGAACTTTCCTGAAAGCGCTCGCTTTTCTCCGTAAGAGCGGTCCGGTCGATTTCGCTGGAGAAACAGATTTCGTTCATTTCTTGTGTGTTGCAAGACAACTATATAGACCTATGATATATAGATTTAGGCAAGCCTAAAAGCGGAGCTCGCATTTTTTTTCCCGCACGTCTCTTCAACAAAACTAAAGCCCCTACTATGGATAAAGTGCGTGGTAATAGTAATGGATTTTCAATCGCAACTTCTCCGTGTCCGTGTAGAGGACTGATTATAAGATGGTGCCCGTGGTACAGTTGCCCTTGCATGCTAAAGGTAGCACATTGTACGGTCAGACGGTCGTACGGTCGCACATCCAAATTTTTCGGCTTGATGGGTTACTACTATTTTGTATAATTATGGGGCTACGCTCTGCGAGCTCCGCTATGAAAACTACAATCCGCCCGATCGGATCTCTTTGTTTTCCCGAATTTTTTCGGCAGTCAAAGTTTATTCGAGCGAACGCCAGTCAAGATTATTTTTAAGATCTTAATTTGACGTAACTTTGAAGGAAAAAATATTGAAAAAAACTAAGCTCAAAAGAGATACCACTGCCGTGAAGATCATGTCTATCTAATCCATCGAGACGACTTTCAGAAACACCCAATTAAAAACAAGTCTCAGGACTGAAATAAACCCCTGTCGGTTCGGTTCGGTGAGTAGATAGGTTGGGGGGAGGGGGTGGGGCGAAAAAAGCGTTAGAGCTTTAGATGACAAAACTGAAGACAAAAGTCAAAGGTGCGCATGATCATCTCTCACTCCATATCTTTACTTTAAAATATTTTCTCTCTTTCATTCATAAAAAAAACATTAATCAGAGTAGATATTTGTTGCGAGTCTGACAGTTGTCTGTTTACCATAGCTTTGCGAAGTTGAGATACTAGCCCTGCAAATACAGCCCTGCTTTATGTGGTTTTGACGTTTCCCGAAGCACTACACAATAAATAACACAGGTCATGAGATTATATTCGTTTGTGACGTCGAGGACAATTGGTAACGAACTCATTCCACATTGTAGGAGTTGTTAAAGTTGATTCTAAGTAGAAAGTCGGCCAAGTGCGATTGATAACCTCTGCAAACAAGTTTGCTGACAACTGGAAAAAAAAAATTAGAAGTTCAATGGTGTTAATTTAAATCAAGCGGTTTTTCTGAATGATAGTACGTTCTCCTTAAAGGCGGTAACCGGTAAAATTTACCGCCCGTAGTATTTTTTATTAGTGCCTAAAATCGCTTGGAATTCTTGAAGATTCAAAAGGTAAAGGATTGCTCTGCCAGTTTGAAAAAATATTTTATCTCATCTGCCTAAAATAAGGAGAACACCTTTTTTTAAGAGAGCACAGCACGCCGAATGCACCCTTTTTGTGCGGCGGTGCGAACCCATCGCTGATTCGCAGATGACAAAAAGATTAAAAAAAACATTTATTCCATCAGAGTGCTTTTCTCTTACGTGTTATGAAACCAACACAGAAACCATCACAACGTCCAATCAGAGACAAGGAAGCTATCACGAGGATCCAGTGAGAATTCAGATAAAACTGATAGTAAATTCATAAATTTTAAGTTTTGAAAACGGTTTGTAATTCAAATGAGTTTTCCGACTTTGAACGACGGACTGGATACCAACGACAAGCTTTTCGGTTAGTTTTGCGCGATCGTAATCAATAGTTGGGTATTTTTAAGACTTCATGTACCCTAATAAAGAGGTAAAAATATCGCGGCAACCGTAGAAATACCACAACCATTGCTTGTAGATAACTCTTCAGTTATTAAAATCCTTGTTCATATTCAAATTAGACTTGGAGACAGCGCACATATAGTAGCCTCGCGAAGAGCCACTGCAAAATTCCAAATTATTTCAATGGTATTTATTTCTATTTTGTTTTATTAACTATCAGCTCGCTCGAACTCCCTGTAATCGCGATAATTTTTGTCGATTCCCTCGTAATTTCGCGATAGAGGTCTCTCCTTTATTTCAAACTACACATGTCTCGGCGAAGAAAATTACGGTCGAAGGAATGGGTGTATTTTTTCCAATTTTCGATAAAAGGTGAAAGGAAAAGAGAAAAGAAAGGGAAAGCAGAAAGAAACGTGCAGTCGAGCATCAACTAACAACCTCGCGCTCAGGGAATATCAACTGTTGACTTAATCTCTTGACTTCTCTGTAACAAAACTTGGCTCCATGAGACTGGTCGTCATTTATCCCCTGTGGGGGGAGGGAGAGGAGGTTGGATGATACAGATGGCTTCAATGGTCATAAGCGATGCTACAAACATGAAGATTGCCGCGCAAAAGGCTGCCTTGCAAAACCTTCGTTTATAGATCAATAATAAAACTGGGCAAGAATTTGCTTTAGGACAACTATTCAAAGGGATTGTGGAGGGTCGAAAGTTCCCAATGCACGACATCTATCGAGGACCTGACGGAAATGTTATGCACAGCTCTTTTTCAACATTAGGATTCTAACCATATTTTGTATGGTATCGTCGGATTAAAAAACGCTTTGATCAAGCGATCTATCATAGAACCGGACATATCAGTTGACATGGAATATGATATGTTTTCACTCTTTTTATTTCATTATGCAAGATAAGCTCATATTTTTAAGAACCAAATGCCTTTCTTACATCAAAATACAAGTCAACTTTAATGATTTAAAGAAAAAAAAATTACTCTAAAGTAAATTTTGCTGCAAATCATGATTAAAGTCAAGTATTTCAAAGCGTAGGGTGCATCCGGTTGTAGGGTTGTAGGAAAAGCTAGGAACAGCGATTATCCCAACACCAAAATCAGCCACCGCTTAAGAAACGACTGATGTGTTGGTTTTGGTGCCAAGCTGACGTTGACTGCCGACGAGGAAGATGACAAATCCATTTTACAATCATCGTGATGATGCAGAAGAACCAGCGAGAACAAAAAAACCACATTTCCATTGAATTTCTTTTTAATGGCTGTCCTTAACTACTCTGTTGCTCTTGCGTCGGAACTATTCTGTTGTTTATTAACGACGCCTTCTGCAGATCGAGAAGCCTTTTAAATTCTCGTTTTATATCTCTTTTGAAGAAAGCATAAGCTATAGGGTTTATTCCAGAGTTAATAACTCGTAGAGGTATTTTGAAATAAGAATCGTTACATGATTGATTATCAGTTAAAAGTAACAAACTACAACGCATCATTATTCCATAACACGATAAAAACACACACGTTATCAAAGCCACCCATTTTACTGCTGACATGTTCTGAGTTTTAGCTCTAACGACCAGTTGATTAAACCGCAATTGCTTGGCTAAAGTGCGATCTCTAGAGTTCAGATTGTAAACAACAAGAAACATGGATGCAAGAAGAAAGATAAGAATTACGCACAAGATTACCTCAACAAGCAAACCCAAGTAGCTGCTGAAAGTCCTGGCAAGATCGATTGCACTAAGTTTAATCAACGAAACTAAAGTAAGAGTGAAAAGAAAAGGAATTCCCCAAGATGTTAGAACCATTTGAATGACTCGACGGCGCTTCATAAAAGTCAAATATTTCAAAGGTTTCACAACAGCAATATAACGTTCCAGTACTAAACTAAACAAGTTTATTCCAGAGGTGTAAATAATGATCATCTCTACAAATGTCACAATTAATCTCTCTTTTGAGCGTAGAGTGCATTCGATTGCAAGGCTGCAAAAAAAGCGTAAAGGAACAGCAAGCATCCCGACACCAAAATCAGCCACTGCTAAAGACACGATGAATGTGTTGGTTTTGGTGCGAAGGTGACGTTTCCTGCAGACGAGGAGGATGACAAATCCATTTACAACCATCGTGAGAATACTGAGGAACCAGCCGAGAACCCAAAACCACGTTTCCATAGAATTTCTTCTGAATGGCTGTCTAGGACTTTTCAATTGTTTTCTTCGGTCAAGCCAAGAGTGTTTTGAAAGGTTTTAATGATGAAAAATTGCGCTTATATATATATTTTTATTCAACCATCTGGCCCCATCCAACCTACGTAAAAGCTAATTGAGCTACTATCTATTGTTTACTTAAGTCATATTTAAGAATGTAAACATCCATCACTTTTAAGGTTTTTCGTCAGACGCTTTGTGCACGGAGTTGAACGCCCGTTAATTGGTTTTCAAGAAGGATGAACCAATCAGAAACTGATGACAAACACGGAACATTTTTGACTTCTTCTTCTGAAATGTTTTAATTCAAAGGATAATTACGGCAGTCCTATTTTAAGAATATCAGTGCAGCATGATAGTTCAAATACGGGAATAAACGAAATTTAGCCAACACCAAATATTTTAAAATACTAGTAATTTCAAAATTGTCAATCGGTCAGCGTTAAGCGTAAATCGCCCCCCGTTACTCTCAAGTTAAAGACGTTTTAACAAATAAACGAATCCTCTAAGCTCTGTATTGTCGTAAACACTTCGGAAGCGACAAGAGCGCGAAAGTGATGGAGAGAAAAACACGAGACGTAGTGGAATGTTTTCCTTACTTCTAAGCGGTTACTTTCCAAAATGTTGTTTTCCATCTCCATGTGATTTGTGCAGTTATCCACAGCTTGTTCCACATCAGTTGCAACCAAATAACTCGTTTTCATACTCGTTTTAAAGGTCATCATGTGCAAGACTTGTGGATCAAGTGCGTCACTTTTCTTTGGAAAAATGTTTGCTTAAACACACTAACAGAAATTAAAAGCATTTCACAAAGACTTACCGAGAAAACGTAACGTTGTAAAATTTCCTGAAAGCGTTTGCCTTTAACAGTCTCCTTTGACATACGACCGATGGATTACATGACTTGAATACTTGTCAAGTAATTCATTTTTAGTCGAAGGAAGGTCTTCCTTGACGAGAATCTCCAAGAAAAGTGTTCATGGAATAAAAAAAGGTGTTGGAAATGTTATATCATTGTGACCTACGCTACCAAATGTAAAAAATTTCCAAATGAAAACGGGAAATTAAAAGTATTGATATCAATGAATTTAATATCGGCTTTGACTAACAAAGGTACAATTCCCCGTTAAATTAATGCGTGACAGCTCATGGGGAAGTTGCACGTACACAAATCGACTGTCGTTGACGAGAAGTCAGGCAATTCAGCTCTTGTTTTTCAGGATTTATCGTTTCAAATTTATTATTGATGTACTTTTTCGACAAGAACATAATGCTCTAAAATATCGAAATGAACGGAATCACGGACTGTTGTAAAAACACAGCAAAATTGAGGAGGAAAATTATATTTTTTACTATGTATCATTAAACGCAAGCTCATAGTTATAAGAGTTAATAATTTGTAGAAGTATTTTGTAACGAAAATCGTTCCATAATTGATTATCAATTGAAGATAATAAACTCTTATATCGGTATTGACTATTTAAGGTGATGGTCAATTCCCCGCTAAATTAAACACAGCTCATGGGGAAGTTGCACATATGCAAATCGACTGTCGTTGACGAAAAGTCAGGCAAGTCAGCTCTTGTTTTCCAGCATTTATCTTTTCAAAGTTATCATGTAATTCATCAACAAGAGCTTAATACTCTAAAACATTGAAGGGAACGTACAGTGGACTGGCGGACTGTTGTAAAAACAAAGCGAAATTAAGGAGGAAAATGATATTTTATACTCTATATCATTAAAATATGCAACACAGGCTCATAGTTATAACAACCAGATGTTTCTAAGACTAAAATACATGCCAGCTTAAATGATTAATTCAAGAAAAACATTTTCTCCAGTAAAGTACAGCCTGTAAAATAATCAATATATGGTCTTAAATATTAGAGACGTATGTAATATCAACATTGCTTCCCTTAAACAAGAGACTTATCTTTGTTTCATCGGAAGCTTTTAAGCTGAACAGCAATAAAGATAAGAATTAATATGTCACGAATAGATTCTGAACGAGAAGTCCGCAGAATCTGGGAAAGTTTTGAGTATATGCATCAGCTAATGTTTTTTTTGCGTCGGAACTATTCAGTCGTTAATTAACGACGCTTTTTTAAGAGAAGCCTTTTGCATTCTTGCCATATATCTCTTTTGAAGAAAGCGTAAACTTTACGGTTTATTCCGTGTTTTAGTGACAATTAGCCTCTATTTGGCCAAGAACAACACATGTTTCAAATGACAATAATTTCAAGCGGGAATCGGTTGAAATTAATGAGTGACGTTAACAAATACAAGCAGCAGCTGGAGCACAGAAGAAATGTAAGGGGGAAACACGAGACGTAGTCGAGTGCTTTCTTTGCTTTTTGGCGCTTGGCGTGCTTACAAACCTCTCATTTGCCTTTCCTGTTACTATTTGCGGGTCGGTGTGTATTCGTCGGTAACTTAATCCGAAATTTCACTCTCTATCTGCCTGTAATAATATACATGAAAAAACTATGTGCGTCTGATTGGCTGAAAACGATTCCATTTTTGAAAATTTCTTCCACCTCTTCTACTTAAAATAAGAAGATCACCATTATTCAGAGAGCATTGCACGCCAAATGCACCCTTTTTGTGTAGCAGTACGAACCCATCGCTGATTCGCAGATGACCAAAAGATGGAAAAAAAACCATTTATTCAATCAGAGTGCTTTTCTCGTACGTGTTATGAAACCAACACAGAAACAATCACAACGTCCAATCTGAGACAAAGAAGCTATCATAAAGAGCCAATTAAAATTAAGATAAAAAAAACAAGGAAATTGTTTGAAGCGCGGAAAAAGTGAATGATTAGGGCGCAAAACAAAACAAAAAAAAAGGTTTTTTTTTTTAGCTCCGCAACTGAATATATTCAACAGACCCCTGTTACATCTATCACGTTCTCCACTCCCGAAGTACTGTGAACGAAGAATTACTTGAGAAAAATATCGTTTCCCAAAACATCTCAGCTGTGAAGAGAAAGGTAGAATGTTTTGTTGAATACTTAACGAGTATTACACACGATGTCACGGGATGAGCCACGTGCCCTGTGCCAGTATCTTGCTGCCATGGGGACGCCAACAGCTTCGCACGCAGTTTGAGTATAAGCGTGCCGAGGTCACTTATAATGGATTACAGGCGTTACCTTTCGACTGAGCAGAGAACGGAAAATGGCTTTTCGGAGGTATACTACGTGTGTTGGATGTGTAAGTCGTCAAAGCCTTTTACCAGGATAAAGAAAATCAAGAATTGCTGTGAACAGCGGTTGACGTTCCAAACTATGCAATCTCCTTCCTGGAAAAAAAGAAAATGAGTCGCCGTGAAAAGGCGAACGTTTTACCAATCATAATGCCTCTATAATTCAACTTACTTTCTAAAGTGAATGCAGCTAAATCATCCCCAGGCCACCTACATTCAAAAGTCCTTCTTGAAACTCTGACCAGGTAACGTTAAGAGTTTGGTTTGACAGGCCTAGGTGTCCTTTAAAATTATGCCTAAAGTTTGCATTTCGTGCCCCAAAATTGGAAACAAAAACGACGTGACCACGGTATCGTAAAAAGTGCGAGACACTTCAATCTACAAAATCAGCCGACCTCTGGATATCTAACAAAAATGGAGAAAGTTATGCGAGCACGCCATCATTGTTATCGCTTCGGCGCGGGCTTTTCTTTGGCCGCCGGGAAATAAAAGGCCTTAAGCAACGCGAGCCTGCCAGAGGTCTGAAAGGGGTCTGGCACTTGTGACCTCATTATTAGAACCAGGCCCAAGGCAAACTTCTCCCCGACTCTTCTCAAATCTTACGGCGGGCTAAGAAACGGGCGTCCTGCGACGCTAATAAAGAGAACCTAACGGCAAGCTTCAAAACGCTTCAAGCGCACATTCGCCCCGTCCTTAAGGAGCTACACTGGTTACCTGTGGAGCAGCGAATTACCTTTAAAGTATTACTGTTAACTTTTAAAGCTCTCAATAATCTGGCACCTCCGTATTTAAGTCAACTTATAGTCCCATATAACCCTACAAGAAATCTTAGGTCTGCTGGCAAACATTTATTAGAAGTACCGAATGTGCGCCTGAATAGCTATGGGGACAGGGCCTTTTCGGTCGCTGCCCCAAAGCAATGGAATGATATTCCCTTAGACATTAAATTAAGTGGATCAGTTGATGTTTTTAAATCTAGATTGAAAACTTATCTTTTCAGACTCGCTTTCATTTGACTTTTTGTTTTAGTGTTATTGTTAGTTAGTTATTTTCTTTTTTGATTGTAAAGCGATATAGAGCTTTTGTATATACCGCTATACAAATAAAGTTATTATTATTATTATTATTATAAGCTTCCATCCTCTCTAAAGGAAACGCGGTTGATCTTAAGGGTTGGGTTCAAGGCCTGGCCGGGGCATTATGTTGAGTGCTTGGGCAAAACAATAAAATTATTACACTGCGTCTCTTCACCCATGAGTATAAATAGATACTGTCCCTCTTTACCCGGGAGTATAAATGGATACTGTCCCTCTCCACCCAGGAGTATAAGTGGATACTGTCCCTCTCCACCCCAGAGTATGAATGGATGCTATCCCTCTCCACCCAAGAGTATAATTAGATACTGTCCCTCTCCACTCAAGGGTATGAATGGATTCTGTCCCTCTCCACCCAAGAGTATAAATAAATACTGTTCCTCTCCACCTAAGAGTATAAACGAATAATGTCCCTCTCCACCTAGTCACCGGTTGTTCGAAGGTGGTATAGCGCTATCCAGTGGATAAATCTTTATCTGGGCCCAGTTTTTCGAAAGCCCATTAGCGCTAACCCAGAGTTAAATTTTAATCTGGGTTTCTATACTTCTTTGTTCGATAGCCTTTTTGGGATCATTTTCCTCTACTCTATATGGAGCATCTAATCATCAAATTGTTGACAAAAAGGATTCTACGGAATTTTCCTTTAAAGCTTCCAGAGCTGAAATCCGATTTCACACTAACCCTGGCTTATCTAAACCCAGCTTTGAACAACTCAGCCCTGGTGGATAGTGCAGTACGTTTTTTTTGTCACTTATCTGTTGGATAGCAATTTATCTGTTTGTTGGCGTTTTCTCACCTTTATAAAACTGGGCCCAGGAGTTTAAAGGTTTATTTTAGAAAAGTTGTTATCAGAGAAAAAAACAAAAGAAAACATGACACTAGGTAAATATTGGGGAAAGTTCAATTCATCGGTGCGTGTTGAATTTGGTTAGGGAGAGATATAGATATTAAGTGTGAAATAATTTGGGGAATACTAATATTTGGAGTAAACTCCTAGGGTTTGGTTTTAGTCTCAATAGTTTGAATATTTTTAAAATCAATTAGACTCCAAGTTTTCTTTTGAATTAATCACAAAAGCTAAAATAATCAAGTGTCGTGGGTTTTAAAGAGGTTCTAGTTTTGAATAAAAGAAAATTGAAAAGCAAATGAAATCTGAATCGAATTTAAGAAAAGAACTATGGAACAGACTTACTCCTTGTTAGCTAAAACACTTGACAATTAGGCGTCAAACGTTTTTTTAAATAAAATCTATCAGTGGATCAACTCATATATTTTAAAATATATAAATGAATTATGGGGAAAAAAACTTCTAGAGAATCAATTTTTGAGGCAAACTCTTCGAGTTTGGTTATTGTGTCAAAAGCTGATACATTTGACAATAAGGCTCCAAAAGAAAAAATGCTTTTTTCTTTTTGAATAAAATAAAATAACAAATAAATTAGGAAACCTAAAGTAGAAATCTGAACAAAAGTAATCAGACTTCAAGACTGTTGTTGAAATTATCTAAAAACTTTCGAATTTAGAAAACGTATATCATCAGAGTATAAGACTTATAATGGATATAAAAACGAGTTTTGAAAAGACTTAGAGAAAGACCAGTGTTTGAAAAATACTTCTTGACTTTAGTTTAGCCTCAAGAGCTAAGACAGTTGATAATCAGGCTGCACGGCAAAAAGGTCTTATTTTTACCAAAACAATTAAAAAGAGAGGGGAAATAAACACACTCCCCGACCTATGCTTGTGTGTACATTTTTGAAAAAATGAACTCCAGGGAAAACTTGAAAAGCATCAAATTAGGACCGGTCTATTTCAATTTGGTTTTCCCCTCAAAAGCCAAAATATTTATCATTCGGCTCCGAGTTCTTTATTCTTCTTCACCTATTTCTGTTCAAAAATTTTACAATTCAAGCTATTGATGAAAATTTGCTTTCAAATGAATTTTTGAGGATTTTTCCAGCATATAGTCCTTCAAGTTAACCTTAGAATCAATTGATTAACAGAAACCGTGTTTTAAACTTCCAGTTAAATCCATCTCAATTAGATAGCCTTACGGGAGACTGTAAAAATAATCTTTTGATAGGTATCCAAAACATTAACAATTCTAGAAATCGAAGTTGTTTTCTTGTTTGTGATTTTCTTTCGTTTTCGACTGTGCTTAGTTTTGAATTGCACACATTCACTTAATCAAGGTTCGAGCGTTCAATGCAGACCAAACATAAAAGCGCGGATAGCTAATTCGTTATCACAAAGGTAATAAGTAACTAACCTGGTGAGAAAGAATCTTGCTTTTCTTCTCTTTCCTTTCACTTCTTTATTTTCAAATTTTTTCGTGTTTGCTTGACGCCCCTCTAAAGAAAAATAAACTTTTAATGTGCGCATGCCTAACGTTTGGTGAGAACTCTTTATTTGTGAATGCAAATAATTATTATCCTGATCAAAAACTCAAACATGGTGAGCAAATTTTCTATGGACGAACAAATATAGATACTTTTAATCACTTATTCTTTTTGTCGGATCTTGGCTCCCACACTTTTCATTTGTCTCCTTGAAAACAGAGCCACCTTAAATCATCGAAGTAAAGTAAGATGGCTCTGAACTGCATGTATCGTATTTCCTCAAATAAGAGTCCACATTCTAATAAGCACCCTCCCCTGGATAAGCACCCGCTCCCTTGGCCAACATATGAAACAACCACCCCCCTTCCCACGTCGAATTAGCACCCTCCTCTTGCCTCACTTCCTTCCTTAGATAACAGGGATACAAGGAAAACCTGTTGCTACTGACACTTATTTGTATCTTTTTAAACTTCAACTACAGCTAAATCAGAACAGGTTAATAGTTTTTTAATAAGAACCCCCTCGATTAAGCACCTTTCTTCCGACGAGAAAGCGCCCAGAAAGGTGAATCGTAGCATGCTTATGCATTTATATACATAAAATAGGGGTCACCGAGCGAATAAAGGCAACAGCGAGGCTGTAGTTTTACTATGGTAACCATTTATGTCATGAAAAAAAAAACCTTTAAATGTTAAGAATAATTGATAATATTTTGATACCATTTTCAGGGGAACATGATAAAAGTGGGTTTGTGTTTTAAAATTACCAAAACCATCTTCAGTTACCTTAATACTAAAACTCTGAGCACGATGTGTGTATTGTATAAATACGTTGAAAATTAAAATAGGAATTGAATAAGTAAATAAGCGATCAATACGAACGAACAAATTTCTTGCTGCTGCCTCAGGAGTCACTTGGTTTTAATAAAAACTGTCATGGCGGCTACGAATAGACAGAAGTTCGTCTTACAGCGCACGTGCTGTACTGTCTGATAAGTTCCCCCTTCTACATTTCACTCTGTAATTTAATGTTCAACGGTAACAACAAGAAGAAGAACACTGTACTTGAATCCAATGTGTATTAATACATAAGTTATTCACCTTGGGAAAAGTCGGAACAGAGTATCATCCATCAATTCGCACCGTCGAAATTTGCAACACTCTGATCTGCAGATTTAAAGGAACAATCGCCGCTTTTCGCAGAACTGACGATATCCAAGTTAATAAGGTTGAAATGACCTCTTTCTTGGCCACAAACTGGCTGAAAAAGACGCTGAATTTCTTTTTTAGTTTGTAAGCTCTTTCCACGTGCAAGACTGATAGTAAATTCATGAATTTTAATTTTTTAAATGATTTGTAACTCAAATGAGTTTTCCGACTTTGAACAACGGGCTGAATACCAACGACAAGCTTTGCGGTTAGTTTTTTGCGATCGTAAGTAATATTTGGCTATTTTTAAGACTTAGTAGACTCTAATAAAGAGGTAAAAATATCGCGGCAACCATAGCAATACCACAACTATTGCATGTAGATAACTCTCCAGTTATTAAAATCGTTGTCCAGATTCAAATTAGACAGCGCACGAACACTAGCCTTCGAAGAGCCACTGCTAAATTCCAAATTAATTTATTTATTTCCATTTCATTTTATTAACTATCAGCGTGCTCGATCTTCCTGGAATCGCCATCATTTTTTTTTCGATTCCCTTGCAATTTCGCGATAGAGGTCTCTCCTTTATTTCAAACTACACCTGCCTCGACTAAGAAAATTACGGTCGAAGTAATAGGTGTATTTTTTCCAATTTCTAATAAAGGGTGAAAGCCAAAGATAAAAGAAAAGGAAAGGAGAAAGAAACGTGCAGTCGAACATCAACCAACAACCTCGCACTTATCCTCACGAGGATCATTTCTTTCAACCTCTCAAGAGAATATCAATTGTTGAATTACTCTCTTGACTTCTCTGTAAGAAAACTTGGCTCCATGGGACTGGTCTCATTTATCCCCTGTAGGGGGAGAGAGAGAAGATTGGACGATACAGATGCTACACTGGTCATAAGCGATGCTACAAACTTGAAGATTGCTGCGAAAGGCTTCTTTGCAAAATATTCGTTCATAGATCAATAGTAAAACTAGGCAAGAAATTGCTTTAGGTCAAGGTTTCAAGTGGATTGTTGAAGGTCGAAAGTCCTCGAAGCACGACCTCTATCTAGGAATGTTCGGATACTATGCCAACGAAATGTTGCACACAGCTCTTTGTCAACGTTAAGATTCTAACCATATTTTGTATGGTATCGTCGGATTGAACTACGCGTGGATCAAGCGATCTGTTACGAAACCGGACACATCAATTGACAAGGAATATGATATGTTTTCACTCTTTTTATTTTATTATGCAAGGCAAGCTCATATTTTTAAGAGCCAGATGTTTCCTATATCAAAATACAAGTCAGCTTCAATGGTTTAAAGAAAAAAAATTACCCCAAAATAAATTTTGCTGCAAATTAAAGTCAAATATTTCAAAGGTTTCAAAGCGTGGAGTGCATTCGGTTGCAAGGTTGCAGAAAAAGCGAGGAGGAACAGCGAACATCCCAACACCAGAATCAGCCACCGCTTAAGAAACGACAAATGTCTTGGTTTTGGTGCAAAGCTGACGTTGACTGCAGACAAGGAAGATGACAAATCTATTTACAACCATCGTGATGATGCAGGAGAACCAGCCGAGAACCCCAAACCACGTTTCCATTGAATTTCTTTTTAATGTCTGTCCTTAACTACTCTGTTGTTCTTGCGTCGGATCTGTTCTGTTGTTAATTAACGACGCCTTTTCGAAGAGAAGTCTTTTGCATTCTTGTTGTATATCTCTTTTGAAGAAAGCATAAGCTATAGGATTTATTCCAGAGTTAATAACTTGTAGAGGTATTTTGTAATGAAAATCGTTACATGATTGACCAGTTAAAAATAATAAACTACAACGCATCATTATTCCGTAACACGATAGAAACACACACGTTACCAATGCCACCCATTTTACCGCTGACGCCTTGTTCTGAGTTTTAGCTCTAGCCACCATATGATTAAACCGTAATTGCTTAGCTAAAATGCGATCTCTTGAGTATACAACATGAAACATGGATGCAAGAAAAAAAATTAGAATTACGCATAAGATTATCTCGAAAAGCAAACCCAAGTAGCCGAGCATAGTCCTGGCAAGATCGATTCCACTAGATCTAATCGACACTAAAGGAAGAGAGAAAAGAAAAGGAATTCCCCAAGATGTTAGAACCATTTGAATGACTCGACGGCGCTTCATAAAAGTCAAGTATTTCAAAGGGTTCACAACAGCAACATAACGTTCTAGTACCAAAGTAAACAAATTTGTTCCAGAGATGTAAAGAGTGAATACCCTTACATATGTCACAATTAATCCCTCTTTTGAGCGTGGAGTGCATTCGGTTGCAAGGCTGCAGAAAAAAAGTGAAGGAACAGCAATCATTCCAACACCAAGATCAGCCAGTGCTAAAGACACGACAAATGCGTTGGTTTTGGTGCGAAGGTGACGTTTAATGCAGACGAGGAAGATGACAAATCCATTTACAGCCATCGTGAGAATGCTGAGGAACCAGCCGAGAACCCAAAACCACGTTTCCATTGAATTTCTTCTAAATGGCTGTCTAGGACTTTTCAATTGCTTTCTTCGGTCAAGCCAAGAGTGTTTGAAAGGTTTTAACGATAAGAAATTTAATTATGTTTATATAGAGTTTTTTATTCAGCCATCTGGCCCCAAGCAACCAACCAATAGTTAATTAGGGAGTTATATACTGTTTAATTCAGTCATATTCAAGGCTGGAAACATCCATCACTTAACAACGTTCTTGTCGGACGCTTCGTGTACGGAGTTTGACGTCTGTTTATAGGTTTTCAAGAAGAATAAACCAATTGCAATCAGAAATTGATAACAAACATTTTTGACTTGATCTTCTAGTGTGTTTGAATTAAAGTAAAATTCGGGCAGTCCTTTTTTTTAGACTGTCGGTACAGCATGATAGTGCAAATAAGATGCGAATTAACGAAACTTAGCCAACGACAAATATTTCAAATAGCAATAATTTCAAAATCATCGGTTAGTGTTAAGCGTAAATCGCCCCCTTTTATTATTAAGTTAAAAACGTTTTAAGCACTGTTCAGTCGTAAAGCACTTCGGACGCGGAAAAATACTCAGCGATGCTACACACCAAAACGTCTGATAAAATAGATTTATCTACAGCTTGTTTTGTATCAGTTGCAACCAAATAACTTTTTTTCATACTCGTTTTAAAGGTCATCATGTAAAATACTTGTGGGTCAAGTGCGTCACTTTTCTTTGAAAAATTGTTTGCTAAACACACGAGCAGGAATTAAAAGCATTTCACAAAGACTTATCAAGAAAACATAATTGTAAAATTCCATTAAAGCGTTCGCTTTTGGCAATCTCTCCTGACATACGACCGATGGATTACATAACTTGAATATTTGTCAAGTAGTTCATTTTTAGTCGAACGAAGGTCTTCCTTAACGAGCATCTCCGAGATAAGTTTTCATAGAATAAAAAGTGTTTTCAAATGAAAACGGAGAAATTAAAAGTATATATATATATATATCAATGAATCTTATGTGGACATTGACTGTTTAAGGTGATCGTCAATTCCCCGTGAAATTAAACCGTGACAGCTGATGGGGAAGTTGCACATATGCAAATCGACTGTCGTTGACGAAAAGTCAGGCAATTCAGCACTTTTTTCCAGTGTTTATCGTTTCAAAGCTATCACGTAATTCATCAACAAGAGCTTAATACTCTAAAACATTTCAGAGAACATACAGTAAAAAAAACAGCAAAATTGAGGAGGACAATGATATTTTTTTACGCTGTATCTTTAAAATATAAAACGCAAGCTCACAGCTATAGGAACCAGATGTTTCTAGGACTAAAATACATGCTAGCCTACATGATTAATTTAAGAAAAACATTTTCTCCAGCAAAGTATGGCCTCAAAATAATCAATATGAGGTCTTATCAAAACTACTTCTCTATAACAGGAGACTTATCTTTGTTTCATTGGAAGCTTTTTGATTCTGAACCGGAAGTCCTCGGAATCTAGGAAAGTTTTAAGTATATGCATCAGCTAATGTTTTTCTTGTGTCGGAACTGCTCTGCTGTTAAATAACGACGCTTTTTGAAGAGAAGCCTTTTGCATTCTTACTTTATATCTCTTTTGAAGAAAGTGTAAACTTTACGGTTTATTCCGGAGTTAATAACTTGCAGACTTATTTCATAATAAAAATCGTTACCACATTTATGACCAGTTAAAAATTATAAACTACAACGCAAGAATATTCCATAACACAATAGAAACACACACGTTACCAAAACCACCCATTTTACAGCTGATTTGTTCTGAGTTTGAACTTTAACGATCCGATGATTAAAATTCAGTTGCCTGGCTACAGTGCGATCCCTAGAGTTCAGATTGTAAATTGAACAAAAAACTGATGGGTGCAAGAAAAAAAATCAACTTTACGCACAAGTTTATCTCGAAAAGCAAATACAAATAGCCGACGATGGTCATCGCATGTTCGTATGAATTGAGTTTAATCGACAATAAAGAAAAAGAAAGAGAGAAAAGAAAAGGAATTCTCCAAAATGTAAAAAACATTTGAATGACTCGACAGCGCTTCATAAAAGTCAAGTATTTCAAAGGTTTCACCACGGCAATGTATCTATTTACAACCATCGTGAGGATGCAGAGGAACCAGCCGAAGATCCAAAACCAAAATGTCATTGAATTTCTTGTTTGAGAAAATTTTTAAGCAAAAACGTTTTAGGCAAAAATAATTGTTTATACAAGGGTTTTATAAAACCATCTCGCTCCCATCAACTCTTAAAATTTACTTAGGACAATGGATAATGTTTAGTGAAGTCGCATTCAAGGCTGCAAACATTTATTATTCTAGAATGTTCTGTCAGACGCCTTCTGCACATAAATTTGACGCCAGTCGTTGGTTTCAAAAAAGAATGGACCAATCAGAAATTGATAACAAAAGCGGAATATTTTCTACTTCGTCATCTGATGTATTCATTTCTCAAAACTACAGAAGAGTGCAGATAAGATGTGAAATAGTGGAAATAGCCTCTAATGACAATAATTTCAAGCGGGAATCGCCCCCTTTTAATATCAAATGAGTGACGTTAACAAATAAAGAAGCTTCGTTTTGTTGTAAAGCAGCAGCAAGCAGCTGGAGCACAAAGGGGGAAACACGAGACGTGTTCGAGTGCTTTCTTTGCTTTTTGGTGCTTGGCATGCTTATATACCTCTCATTTGCCTTTCCTTTTGCTATTTGTCGGGTCGGTGTGTATTCGTCGCTAACTTGATCCGAAATTTCACTCTTTACCTGCGTGTTATAATATACCTGAAAAAAATTACGCACTTCTGAATGGCTGAAAACAAGTCCATTTTTCATGCTATGCAAGTGCAAAGTTGTAACACGAATGCAGTTTTGTTGTCTTAGAAAAATTTACTTGTGCTTGCTAACACCAAATTGCACTCAAAATCATGTTATTACCTATATTAAAAATTATACACGAAAAATTTACGCGCTTCTGATTGGCTGAAACCAAGTGCATTTGTCATGTAACACGAGTGCAAAGCTGAAACATGAATACAAATTACATATAGGGCGCACGCTGTCAAAATTTCGTTTGCCTTGCCTTTGAGAGATGCCTTTTTCATGTATATTATTTCTAAGTAACATAGTGATTTCTCGTGCAATTTCTTGTAAAGAGGCACTTGAAAAATTTTCAAAGACTACAAATTGCACTCGTAATTTGCTACGGGCTCTTGAAATATTTGGTCTTTGATAAACTTACTCGATTTTTAACACCAATTTCACTCGAAATCATGTCAGTAGTAATTTGTGCTGTTACCTACAGGTTGTTCCGTGTCATTTGAGGCTACGAGCTTGTTTTCCATATTCGTTTTAAACGTCATGCAAGACGCGTGCATCAGCGTACGGGGCGGGGGGGGGGGAGCTGCAGCCCCCCCTGTCGGAAAAAAAATTAATATTATTTGGGCAAAACTGATGTACCGTTCGAGCAAAGACACAGTAAAAAATATTTTATTATTTAATATCTTGATTTATTTGTTTTCATCCCGCAACTCGCCTAATCCTCTAAGTGACCTCTGCACTACTTCACGGGATGGCTGTTATTACTCGGAGTTAGAACATTGAGTTCTACCGAGGGACTGGGAGTGATAATCAAGACCGCGCTGGGACTGGAAGTGCGTATGAGTTGACGGCCATGTTGATTTAGGTCACTTCTTGAGTGCATATGCGTGTAAACTGGTGGATTGAAGTATGTCTTTGTCGAAGTCTCGTAAAAGATCATATCGATACCGTGTGAAATGTGAAGAATGCGAGAAAGAATTCGACTCCGACTATGTAGAAGCTCATTCCCGAATTGTTCACAGCGGCCGAAAAGTGAAGTGTCTGCCAGTGGTAGAATCGTCACAGCTGAAATTAAGTGGTTTCTCCACTAAAAGCAGTGCAGCAGTCGAATCTCCAGGTCAGACACAGGAGGTACCGCTTGTTGGATGTAGTCCAGAGGGGGAACAAGGTATTTTTTCATCAACATACGAATCTGTTGCAAATATCCAGCCAGATCCTGAATCAATCGACCAAGATTTACTCAGCCTGATGCGTCAATGAGAGACGTCCAGGAACCTAGCGAGCCCAGCACCCCGATAGATAAAGGTATTCAATCAGATCTCGGAGGAATTGCTGAATTAGAGCCAGAGTTCTCCACATCGCCTACGTTGACGACAATGGTACCGAAACAACCTGTTTTACCCGAATATCCGGGCACCAAGTTCAGCAGCGAGTCTTTCACTAGACGATTCCAGCCTGACTGGTATAAAAAGTATCCATGGCTTAGTTACGATGTCGAAAAAGACGTGTGTGTATGTTTTGCCTGCATAGAGTTTGGAAAGGATGCATCTTTTCTTCTCAAGAATTGGAAGAAGCCATCAAAGTTAACAAAACACAGCCGAAGTGAGAATCATGTAAGTTGCATGACTAAGTGGCCGCAGTTCAAAGCAATGGAAAGAAAGAATAGCAGTGTTCTGCGGCAACTAAGCAATGCACATAAAGAGCAGGTCAAATTTAACAGGAAATATTAACAAGTGATAATCGAGTGCTTGATTTTCACTGCTATGCAAAATATTGCTGTCAGAGGCCATGAAGAAAGTCGAAACGATATCTGGGAATTGTCAGATATAAACAGAGGAAACTTTCTCGAATTACTCCATTTAGGATGCAAAGACTTGCCATGGCTGCAGACAAAACTCCAGGCGCAGCTCCAGTTGCATGCTCAGTGGACATCACCCACCATCCAAAATGAGCTACTTGCAATAGTGTCAGACCTTGTGCTTGAGAGAATCACGAGAGAAGTAAGGAAGAGTGGTTTCTTTGGAATCATCATGGATGAAACTTCAGACATCAGTAGAACCGAAGAGGTATCCTTGTGCCTCAGGTACGCTATCAATGGTGAGACAAAAGAAAATTTCGTTGGTTTCTTTGTCACTGCTTCTACGGAGGGGGGAGTTCTGTACGAGCTCGCAAAAACAGCCATAAATAAGCTGGATTTAAGGTTGGAAACATTATCAAAGAAAAGAAAGGGAAAGGAGAAAGAAAATTTTTTTTCGTGGAACCAGCCGACGACCCGTACGCATTTCCACCTCTCAAGAGAATATCAACTGTTGACTTACTCTCTTGACTTCTTCAAAACAAAAATTGGCTCTAAGAGACTGGTCGTCCTTTATCCCCCTGTGGGAGGAGGGAAAGGAGCTTGGACGATACAGATGGCTAACGTTAAGATTTTTTTTTTATTTATTTATTTATTTTTTTTAACAGCTTTATCGACCATTACACATGTTACATACAGCAAATTAAACAGCCAAGAAAAAAAATGAAATATATGTGCAAAGTGATTTAAAGTGGTAAGGTCAAAAGGGAAGGTGCGAACGGGACGCGAGGACCCATGCGAGGCACCTCCCATGGTACAAATAATAATTAAAATATGATCAACCAAAAGACGCCAAATTTAAAAGACGCTAAAAAACTAGGGATGGCAGGGGCAGGATCGTACAATTGACCAGGTACAGGTATAGGATATGTCAAAGTGATTGTGCAAAAGGTGAAACATGTGCTCAGTAACAAAGTTGCGGAAGGAAGCAGTAGTTGAAAAACTAGTAGGGGGTGAAAATTTACAGATATAGTTCCAGAGTTTAACAATACGATTAAAGTAAGAGGCCTGAAAAGTGCTAGTTTTACATACAGGAGTTTTAAGGTTATAAGAATTACTTAGTCTGGTTCGGCCGTGAGAAACAGGAGAAACAAAATCGTAAACATTAAGATCAGTAAAACCATTCCGACATTTGTAAAAAAAAAAACAAGATGTTTGAGTTCGCGGTCAAATGTCAGAGGAAGAAGTTTCAAAGTTAAAAGTCTATCTCTGTATGACATCACGCCTACACGTTGTTTGAGGATCCACCCTGTGGCCCTCCTTTGAACCCTTTCAATTTGAGTTTTTAATGAAATCTTGTCCGGGGACCAGACTTGGGTCGCGTAGGATAACTGAGACTTCACAAGTGCAAGATAAAGTGAGCGTCTAGCAGAGACATCGTTTAATAGTGGGCACGTGCGTTTTAAAAGTCCAAGTAACTTGTTGGCCTTAGCAGTAATGGCATGGATATGTGTGTTCCAGGTGAGGGAGTTGGTGATGTTAACTCCAACGTCTTTCTCCGTGGACACACGCTCGAGCTCTAAATTATCAAGCTTGTAAATCAAGTCTAGCCATTCTAACCATATTCTGTATGGTATCGTCGGATAAAACTACGCGTGGATCAAGCGATCTTTTGGAGAACCGGACACCTCAGTTTTTTTCACTTTTTTATTTTATTATGCAAGGTAAGCTCATAATTTTAAGAACTAGATGCTTCTTACATAAAAATACAAGTCAGCTTTAATGTTTTAAAGAAAAAACATTACTCCAAAGTAAATTTTGCTGCAAATCAAAGTCAAAGGTTTCAAAGCGTGGAGTGCATTCGGTTGTAAGGTTGCAGAAAAAGCGAGGAGGAACAGCGATCATCCCAACACCAAAATCAGCCACCGCTTAAGAAACGACAAATGACGAAGGCGAAGCTGACGTTGACTGAAGACAAGGAAGATGACAAATCCATTTACAATCATCGTGATGATGCAGAAGAACCAGCCGAGAACCCAAAACCACATCTCCATCGAATTTCTTTTTAATGGCTGTCCTTAACTACTCTGTTGTTCTTGCGTCGGATCTATTCTGTTGTTTATTAACTGACGCCTTCTGCAGAGAAGCGTTTTAAATTTTCGTTTTATATCTCTTTTGAAGAAAGCATAAGCTATAGGGTTTATTCCAGAGTTAATAACTCGTAGACATATTTTGAAATAAGAATCATTACATGATTGATTATCAGTTAAAAGTAACAAACTACAACGCATCATTATTACATAACACGATAGAAATACAAACGTTATCAAAGCCACCCATTTTACTGCTGAAGTGTTCTGAGTTTTAGCTCTTGCGACCAGTTGATTAAACCGCAATTGCTTAGCTAAAGTTCGATCTCTAGAGTTCAGATTGTAAATAACAAGAAACATGGATGCAAGAAAAAAGACTAGAATTACGCACAAGATTATCTCAAAAAGCAAACCCAAGTAGCTGCTGAAAGTCCTGGCAAGATCGATTGCACTAAGTTTAATCAACGGAACTAAAGTAAGAGTGAAAAGAAAAGGAATTCCCCAAGATGTTAGAAACATTTGAATGACTCGACGGCGCTTCATAAAAGTCAAATATTTCAATCAACTATTCGGCCCCATCCAATCTACGTAAAAGTTAATTGAGCTACTATATATTGTTTACTTAAATCATACTTACGTCATTTAAGGATGTAAACATTCATCACGTTTAAGGTTTTTCGTCAGACGCATTGGTTTTCAAGAAGAATGAACCAATCAGAAATTGATGACGAACACGGAACATTTTTGACTTCATCTTCTGATATGTTTTAACTCAAAGGAAATTACGGCAGTCCTATTTTAAGAATATCGGTGCAGCATGATAGTTCAAATACGCGAATAAACGAAATTTAGCCAACACCAAATATTTTAAATAACAATAATTCAAAATTATCAATCGGTCAGTGTTAAGCGTAAAAAATTTTCAAATGAAAACGGGAAATTAAAAGTGTTTATATCAATGAATCTAATATGGGCTTTACATGCAATTCCCCGTTAAATTAAACCGTGACAGCTCATGGAGAAGTTGCACGTATTCCAATCGAGCGTCGTTTACGAAAGTCATTCAATTCAGCTCTTCTTTTTCAGGATTTATCGTTTCAAATTTATTATTGATGTACTTCTTCGACAAGAACATAATGCTCTAAAACATTGAAATGAACATATAGCGGAATGTTGTAAAAACACAGCAAAATTGAGGAGGAAAATGATATTTTTTACTCTATATCATTAAAATATGAAACGCAGGCTTATAGTTATAAGAACCAGATGTTTCTAAGACTAATATCTCTTTTGAATAAAGCATAAGCTATAGGGTTTATTCCAAAGTTAATAATTTTTAGAGGTATTTGTAACGAAAATCGTAACATAATTGATTATCAATTGAAGATAATAAACTCTTATATCGGTATGAACTATTTAAGGTGATGGTCAATTCCCCGCTAAATTAAATACAGCTCATGGGGAAGTTGCACATATGCAAATCGACTGTCGTTGACGAAAAGTCAGGCAATTCAGCTCTTGTTTTCCAGCATTTATCGTTTCAAAGTTATTATATAATTCATCAACAAGAGCTTAATACTCTAAAACGTTGAAGAGAACATACAAGGGACCTTACGCAGTCAGGTGGGTAACTTCAAGGAAGACTTCAATTAAAAAATGGATTTCTGCCTATAATTAGAACTTCGAGAATGGCTGCATTTGTTTACCGTCTCCTACGGCGCCACACCTCAACATCAGCATAACGTATTAAAGAAGCGCTGAGTTCCAAATGGAAATTAAAATAATTTGCCGTCGCGATTTCGGTTCGCAGACGATGCAAATTGTGGAGATTTCACGTTGTTGTTTTGCAGAGGACGGCTAAGAAAGTACAAAGCTTTAAAACGCACGTGCTGAACTATTTTTGTGCCAATTAGATCTTTTGTTTTTCCATATCCTCGTTGCCGTCACCGTCGTGGTTTGTTTAAAGTCCCTACAGTGGACTGGCGGACTGTTGTAAAAACACAGAAAAATTGAGGAGGAAAATGATATTTTTTTTATTCGATACCATTAAAATATACAACGCAAGCTCATAGTTATAAGAATCAGATGTTTGTAAGACTAAAATACACGCTAGCTGAAACGATTAATTTAAGAAAAACATATTCTCCAGTAAAGTACGGCCTCAAAATAATTAATACGTGGTCTTGAATATTGGAGACATTAGTAGCATCATCCTTATTTCTCTTAAAGAGGTAACTTATCTTTGTTTAATCGGAAGCTTTTTAACTGAATAACAATTTTGATAAGAATTGATGTTTTAAGTATATGCATCAACTAATTTTTTTCTTGCTTCGGAACTATTCTGTTGTTTATTAACTGACGCCTTTCAAACAGAAGCCTTTTGCGTTCTTGTTGTATATCTCTTTTGAAGAAAGCATAAGCTATAGGGTTTATTCCAGAGTTAATAACTTCTATAGGTATTTTGTAATGATAATCGTTACACGATTGACCAGTTAAAAATAACAAACTACAACGCATCATTATTCCGTAACACGATAGAAACACACATGTTATCAAAGCCACCCATTTTACTGCTGACGCCTTGTTCTGAGTTTTAGCTCTAGCGACCACATGATTAAACTGCAATTTCTTAGCTAAAGTGCGATCTCTAGAGTAAATAACAAAAAACATGGATGCAAGAAAAAAGATTAGATATACGCACAAGATTACCTCGAAAAGCAAATATAAGTAGCCGTCTATAGTCCTGGCACGATCGATTGCACCAAGTTCAATCGACACTATAGTAAGAGTGAAGAGAAAAGGAATTCCCCAAGATGTTAAAACCATTTGAATAACTCGACGGCGCTTCATAAAAGTCAAGTATTTCAAAGGTTTCACCACAGCAACATAACGTTCCAGTACTAAGCCAACCAAGTTTGTTCCAGAGGTGTAAATAATGAACACCCTTACAAACATCACAATTGATCCCTCTTTTGAGCGTGGAGTGCATTCGGTTGCAAGGCTGCAGAAAAAGCGTGAAGGAACAGCAAGCATCCCAACACCAAAATCAGCCACTGCTAAAGACACGGCAAATGCGTTGGTTTTGGTGCGAAGGTGACGTTTGCTGCAGACGAGGAAGATGACAAATCCATTTACAACCATCGTGAGAATGCTGAGGAACCAGCCGAGAACCCAAAACCACGTTTCCATAGAATTTCTACTAAATGGCTGTCTACGACTTTTCAATTGCTTTCTTCGGTCAAGCCAAAAATGTTTTGAAAGTTTTTAAGGATGAAAAATGTAATTGTGTTTATATAGAGTTTTCAATCAACCATCTGACCCCATCAACCTACGCAAAAGTTAATTAGGGCAATATATGCTATTTAATTATGTCATTTTCAAGGCTGCAAACATCCATCACTTAATGACGTTCTTGTCACACGCTTCGTGCTCGGAGTTTGACGTCTGTTTCTTGGTTTTCAAGAAGAATAAACCAATTGTAATCAGAAATTGATAACAAACGCGGAACCTTTTTTGACGTCATCTTCTAATGTGTTTTAATTCAAAGAAAATTACGGCAGTCCTTTTTTGAGACTATCAGTACAGCATGATAGTGCAAATAAGATGCGAATTAACGAAACTTAGCCAACAAGAAATATGTCAAATAACCATTATTTCAAATAACAATAATTTTAAAATTATCATTCGGTCAGTGTTAAACGTAATTCGCCCCCTTTTATTATCAAGTTAAATACGTTTTTAACAAATAAAGAAGCCTCGAAGTTCCAGAAGCCACTGTTCTGTTGTAAAGCATTTCGGAAGCGGCGTTGTTTGTATTTTTACTCGCCATACGGGCTCGTCAAAATACGGCACAACTCGCAAAAATGCTCACCGATACCACACTCCAAAACGTCTAATAAAATGTATTTATGCACAGCTTGTTCTGTATCAGTTGCAACCAAATAACTCGTTTTCATGCTCGTTTTAAAGGTCATCATGTGCAAAACTTGTGGGTCAAGTGCGTCACTTTTCTTTGAAAAATTGTTTGCTAAACACACCAGCAGAAATTAAAAGCATCTCACAGAGACTTATCAAGAAAACGTAATATTATAAAATTTCCTGAAGGCGTTTGCCTTTGACAATCTCTCTTGACATACGACCGATGGATTACATGACTTGAATACTTGTCTAGTAATTCATTTTTAGTCGAACGAAGATCTTCCTCGACGAGCATCTCCAAGATAAGTTTTCATGGAATAAAAAAGTGTTGGAAATGTTATACCATTGTTACCTACGCTACCGAATGTGAAAAAAATTCCAAATGAAAACGGGGAAATTAAAAGTATTTATATCAATGAATCCTATATCGGTATTGACTATTTAAGGTGATGAAATGAAACAGAGCTCATGGGGAAGTTGCACGTATGCAAATCGACCGTCGTTAACGAAAAGTCAGGCAATTCAGCACTTTTTTCCAGCATTTATCGTTTCAAAGTTATCATGTAATTCATCAACAAGAGCTTAAAACTCTAAAACATCGAAGAGAACATACAGTAAAAAACACAGCAAAATTAAGAAGAAAAATGATGATTGTTTACTCTATGTCATTAAAATATACAACGCAAGCTCATAATAATAAGAACCAGATGTTTCTAAGACTAAAATACATGCCAGCTTAAATGATTAATTTAAGAACAATATTTTCTCCAGTAAAGTAGGGCCTCAAAATAATCTATATGTGCTCTTAAATAATAGAGACGTATGTAATATCAACACTACGTCTCTTAAACAGGTGACTTAGCTTTGTTTCATCAGAAGCTTTCTGACTGAACAGCAGTTTAGATAAGAATTAATATGTCACGAATAGATTCTGAACCGGAAGTCCTCGGGATCTAGGAAAGTTTTAAGTATATGCATCAGCTAATGTTGTTCTTGCGTCGGAATCACTCTGCTGTTAAATAACGACGCTTTTTGAAGAGAAGCCTTCCGCATTCTTGCTTTATATCTCTTTTGAAGAAAGCATAAACTTTACGGTTTAGGCCGGAGTTAATAACTTGTTGAGTTATTTTGCAATAAAAATCGTCACTACATTTATGACCAGAATAAACTACAACACAAGAATATTCCGTAACACAATAGAAACACACACTTATTAAAACCACCCATTTTACAGCTGATTTGTTCAGAGTCTGAACTTTAACGACCCGATGATAAAAATTAAATTGCCTGGCTACAGTGCGATCCCTAGAGTTCAGATTGAACAAGAAATATGGATGTAAGAAAAAAGATTAGCATTAGGCACAAGATTATCTCGAAGAGCAAACACAAATAGCCGACGATGGTCATCGCATGCTCGAATGCATTGAGTCTAATTGACAATAAAGAAAAAGTAAGAGTGAAAAGAAAAGGAATTTCCCAAGATGTAAAAACCATTTGAATGACTGGGCGGCGCTTCATAAAAAAGTATTTCAAAGGTTTCACCACGGCAATGCGTTTATTTACAACTATCGTGAGGATGCAGAGGAACCAGCCGAAGATCCAAAATCACAATTTTATTGAATTTCTTGTTTAAGAAAATTTTAAGCAAAAACGTTTTAGGCAAAAATAATTGTTTGTATAAGGGTTTTAGAAAAACGTTCTCGCTCCCATCAGCTCTTAAAATTTACTTAGGACAATAGATAATGTTTAGTTAAGTCGCGTTCAAGGCTGCAAATATTTATCATCCTAGAATGTTCTGTCAGACGCCTTCTGCACAGAATTTGACGCCAGTCATTGGTTTCAAAAAAGAATGGACCAATCAGAAATTGAAAACTGAAGCGAAATATTTTTTACCTCACAATCTGATGTGTTTCATTTCTCAAAACTACAGCAGAGTGTAGATAAGATGTGAAATGGTGAAAATTAGCCTCTATTTGGCCGAGAACAACAACGTTAACAAATAAAGAGGCTTTGTTTTGTTGTAAAGCAGCAGCAAGCAGCTGGAGCACAAAAGAAATGTAGGGGGAACACGAGACGTAATCGAGTGCTTTCTCTACTTTTTGGCACTTAGCATGCTTACAAACCTCTCATTTGCCTTTCCTGTTACTATTTGCCGGGTCGGTGTGTAATCGTCGGTAACTTGATCCGAAATTTCACTCTATCTGCGTGTAATAATATGCATGAAAAAATTACGTGCGTCTGATTGGCTGAAAACGAGTCCATTTTTCATGTAATACGAGTGCAAAGTTGTAACACAAATGCAATTTTGTTATCTCTGAAAAATTTACATGTGCTTTTTAACACCAAATTGCACTCGAAATCATGTTGTTACCTACACTAAAAATATACACGAAAAATTTACGCGCTTCTGATTGGCTGAAACCGAGTGCAGTGTAACTCGAGTGCAAAGCTGGAACATGAATACAAATTACAAATAGCACGCACGCTGTCAAAAGTTCGTTTGCCTTGCCTTTGAGAGATGCCTTTTTCATGTATATTATTTATAAGTAACAACATGATTTCGAGTGCAATTTCTTGTAAAGGGGGACTTGAAAAATTTTCAAAGACCACAAATTGCGCTCGCAATTTACTACGGGCTCGTAAAATATTTGGTCTTTGATAGAATTACTCGATTTTTAACACCGAATTTCACTCGAAATCATGTCAATAGTTGTCTAATTTGTGCTGTTACCTACAGATTTTTCCGTGTCATTTAAAGCTAAGAGCTCGTTTCCATATTCGTTTTAAACGTCATGCAAGACGCATGGATCAAGTACGCCACTTTTCAACGACAATTTGTGTGCTAAAAACACGAGCAAAACCTGTCACATTTCTTGTGTGTTGCAAGAGAGCTATGTACTTATACGGAAAAACCACAATCCGCCCGATCGGATCTCTTTATTTTCCCGAATTTTTTTGACAGTCAAAGTTTACTCGAGCGAACGCCTTTCAAGACGATTATCCAAGACCTTAATTTGACGTAACTTTAAGGACAATTCAGAAAAAAAACTAAGCTTAAAAGAGATCCCACTGCTGTGTAGATCATGTCTATCTAATCCATCGAGACGACTTTCATCTCTCGCTTCATATCTTTACCTAAGAAATTTTATTTCTCTCTTTCAAAGTCGCTAGTTGTTAGTAGTCCGAGAGTAGTCTGTCTACTATATCTTTGCGAAGTTGAGATAATAGCCCTGCAAATACAGTCCTGCTTTATGTGGTTGTTACGTCTCTCAAAGCACTACATAATAAATAACACAAGTCAAAAGAATATATTCGTTTGTGACGTCGAGGTCAAGTGGTAACGAATTCATTCCACATTGTAGAAGTTGTTAAAGTTGATTCTTAGCAGAAAGTCGGCCAAGTGCGATTGATAACCTCTGCGAACAAGTTTACTGACCACTGAAAAAAAAATTAGAAAAATATTAGCGTTGATTTAAATCAAGCGGTTTTTCTGAATAATGGTGTTCTCCTTTAAGGCGATAACCGGTAAAACTTTCCGCCCGTAGTATCTCTTATTGGTGCGTAAAATCGCTTGGAATTCTTGAAGATTCAACAGGTAAAGGATTGCTCTATCAGTTTGAAAATTTATTTTTCCTGTTCTGCTTAAAATAAGGAGAACACCTTTATTCAGAGAGCACAGCACGCCGATTGCACCCTTTTTGTGCAGCAGTAAGAACCCACCGCTGATTCGCAGATGGCCAAAAGAAAAAAAAAATCATGAGAGTGCTTTTCTCTTACGTGTTATGAAACTAACACAGAAACCATCACAACGTCCAATCAGAGACATGGAAACTATAACAACGAGCCAATGAGAATTGAGATGAAAAACAAGGCAATTGCCTGAAGCGCGGAGAAACGTATATGACTAGGGCGCGGAAAAAAAAAATTGTTTTTCTAGCTCCGCAATTAAAGATATTCAACAGACCCCTGTTACACCCACCACATTCTCCAGTCCCAAAATACTGTATACGAAGAAACACTAACAAAAAAAATCATTTTCCGAAACATCTCACCTGTGAAGAGAAAGGTAGAGTATTCTTTGAATACTTTATGAGTATTACACATGATGTCATAAGCAGGATGAGTCACGTGCCCTGTACCAGGGTCTTGTTGCCATGGGGACGCCAAAAGCTGCGTGCGCAGTTTGAGTATAAGCGTGCCCAGGTCACTAATGATGGTCATCACAGGCGCTGCCTTTCGACTGAGCAGGGAACGGAAAATGGCTTTTCGGAGGTAGTCAGTGTGTTGGTTGTGCAAGTCGTCCAAGCTTCTTACCTGGATAAAGAAAATCAAGAATTAGTTATATTGAAGTCCACAAAGCAACCAGGCGGAAAATCAGACATAGCTAATGCTACTCTGATTTCACGATTTAATTAATGTAACCGAGAAGTTACAATTCATAGACCCAACGTTTCGACACTTTTGTCTGGTGCCCTCATCAGGGGTGATCTAATCGTTGCAACAAGAGGTCCTTTTATATGCTCACTAATTAGCTGTTCTTTTTTTCTGACGAGGTGTAAATAGGGTCAGGTAGTAAGTCGCCATCGTCACGATTTGAAGGAGCGTGGGCGGAGTTGATATGCCAGGCTTCCCAACAAAGGCGCTGGTGGTAACGTCGATTAGTGGTGCTAATTTTAGACTTATTCCTTCTAATTGTATGGTTGGTTAGGCATGTGTGCACCGACAAAGCTGAATTTTCTTTTTGGCAAAAGAAGACCGCTTTTTGCCCTTTCAAACGTTTACCAAACTAACGTTTGGTACACGTTCTAAACTATGCAATCTCTTTCCTGAAAAAAATATAATGAATGGCCGTGAAAAGGCGAACGTTTTACCAATCACAACCCCCATATAATTCAGCTTATTTTATAAAGTGTAATGCAGCTAAATCATCCCCAAGTCACCTACATTTAGAAGACCTTCTTGAAACTCTGACCAGGTAACGTTTAGAATTTGATTTGACAAGTATCCTTCAAGATTATGCACAAAGTGTTGCATTTCGTGCCTGAAAAAAGAAACAACAAAGACATGATGACAGCATCGTAAAAAAATGTGAAACACTTCAATTTACCAAAACAGCCGACCTCTGGATGCCTAAAACTAACATGGAGAAAGTCATTGGCTTGTGAGCAAGCTAATCGCTTCGGCGCGGGCGTTTCCTTGCCCGCCGGAAAGTAAAAGGCGGGCAAGAGAGAGAGGAAGAGAGGATGTAATTAACGACACACTAATTCAGTCTAAGAGAAATAGCGGTACTTCTTATCGCTTCATGCTATTTGAACCAAGGTAAGGTAGGCAGGATGGGTAACTTGACTAGTGAGCAGACTTCACTTTATTACCCTTTCACGAGGTTCCCAGACAGTCCTGTTATAGTGTGGAAGTGAATTTAACAGCAGTGAGCGAGCCTGCAAAGGACCATCATAGATAGTAGAGCGACTTTGGTGACACGCACAGCTAGATTGCGCGCGCTGCAACGGGTCAAACAAGAGAAACACCAGGACATCACCACTCAAACGAAATATGTATTCCGCTTTCATCACGAACACTACAAAACGGTATAAAATACATTCACTCTGAAGAGCGCACGAAAAAAAGATCTGTTGTTTTCGACAACGTTTTCAGTGGTAAACTTCGTCATAGAAACATGCAACAGAAGGCTGAGAGATGTTCTTATAAATTACCTGAAGAGCTGCAGCTGACGAAGTTGGGGCGAACCGGCTACATTGCGTGAGTAGGCTGTAACACAAGAACATTCGTCGTCAGCAAGAAAATTTAACAATGCCCATTGACCTTTTAAAGTATCATGATCTGAAAACAAATTTTCCGTTGCGTATAATTTACATTTGTTTTAAATTAGTGCAAAGAATTTGTTGTTACATCAAAGTAACATTTACTAAGTTTTAGAGGTGTTTTTTCTCATAACCTGTTTGCTCGGTATAGCATTGCCATGGTATGGAGAAGATACATTCTAATCACTTGAAAGAGTTAGAGACATATCAACTGCGGTTAAGTGTGAGGCCTTACGAGACGCGAGCCGGCGAGGGGTCTAGCACCGATTATTGGTGCCAGACCCCCATAAAACTCTCACGTCTCAAATCTTCCCGCCGGTGGAGAAGCGGGCGACTTGAACTACAAATAATGAGAGCATGCTCAGGCTAGGTTTTTAGCGGAAACTCCTTCACACAACTTGTGGTTTGATTTTAAAAAATTGCTTTACAAGTGTTTCATTTGCCCGAGCGTCTCTTTGAAAAACAAAAGCTGGCGCTAGCTGTCTGCCACTTAAAAACGAAAATTTACTTTTTTTAAGCTTACCAACGTGCTTCAAATGAAACCAAATATCCCGCAGGACCCACGAAAGACGTTTTAGCCGCAACATAAAAGAGAATACCTGAAAGAAAGTTTAGGGTTTAGTTTGACACCTCTAACAGCACGCACCTATGTTCAAAACAACTCCAAGTTCATTTAGTAAGTATTTTATCATATGACACTCAGACCAAACTTTTTCATTTTGAATTTGCCGGCTTTCGCTACCAAAAATACACAGATTAAGGTAGTTTCCGTGGAAACGGTCTGTTCTGTCAGAACATTCAAATTTAGCTTTGGACTACTTTGCCCTAAGAGAATTTATTTCTTTCAAATAAATCCAAACATGATTTCTTACCTTGTTGTATTTCACGACAGACTTTTCCGTAATGACTATATTGAGGGGCCAATCGACCTGATGAGATGAGATGAGTTGAAATGAAAACAAACGAAGAAAAAAAATGTAGTGGACAACTTGAACAAGATTTACAACAGCAAGGTGATGTTTTTTCTTGGACTACTCACTCTGTACCGCAACTCTAGAAAATCCAGGGTCCCCATTTCTAGTTAAAAAAGATCGGATAAAACATTATTACATAAGAACATAAAAAAATTAAGATTGTAAGTACTGAGCGTATTTCGGTCAAGAGCCTGGAACCAAATTCATAGAAATCTATCAGCCAATCAGGGCAAAAGGAAGTATCACAAAGATTCGGTGAAAAGTTAGAGAAAAAGCACGTCAACTGCCTGGAGCGCGGGAAAAAAGAAGGTGCAAATTCCGGTTGGTTTTGGTTTTGCATTTGATTGGTCGAAGGTGACACGAACTTTTTGGACCAATCACACCTTGTACGGTTGGAGTTCCAGTCTTCCTTGGCCACTCACATGAAACTTGCACCATTAAAGTATTTATATGTATTCTGAAATCATTAGATAGGAAACATTATGACGATTTAGGCATTTTTCGAGCAGAGGAAATTTGCTCTAAATCCGGAATCCGAACGAAACTTTACAGCAGTAGTTTTAATAACTCTTTCCATAAGCAGCTGCAGGTGGTGTAACCAAATACTACAGCCTGCACGCACGTTAAACAGAAAGTGGTCCGCGATCTTACAGCCGGCGGTAAACCGACAGTAACTTGCTTTTATTGAGAACCCTGCTTTAAGTGACAGTTGGCAGGGCTGGACAAAAACTAACTAAGGTTAAACTTAACTCTAAAAGAACAGGAATGGTTAAGAATTGAAAACACTAAAATGGAACGGAATAGACATACCGTTCGGTTTAAATATCTCAGGCATGTTTTTAAGAGCAAAGGCGAGGTTCTGCGCATGCTCCGTGGTATCAGAGTAAATGGAGACTTGAAGGGCCTTCCCTACGATGGAGTTCATCACTGTGGCAGAACACATCTCCCATGGGGACACCCCTGAGGCAAGCTGTTACAAAAAAAAAAAAACATTGCATAATAAATTGCAGCTCTGAGGTTGTCACAGCCTTAGAGATGAGGATTGCATGACCAGCTAAAACGCCAATCATTAAGTATTTGAAGAGGGAAGATTATGAGACCAGGCTTATTTCTTTCCCGAATGGAAAAAGAGGACAAAAAAGTACCTTTTCAAACAGCTGGTTGGAAAGTGAGAGAGAAAATTCACCGTCCTCCATGAACAGCAGCTTCTTGAACAGATCAAAGTGTCTGTTGATGTGCAAGTCTTGGATAAAATACGCCACGATAGCAGAATTTACCAAGGATATCCTTGAAAGTAAGAAAGGAAAATACGTTGTTATACACAGAGCAGGAGAAATGAGATACGACGACAAATCTAACTGATAGATTCCACGTTGTCGAGCGTCAAAGTGTGGTAAGATAAAAAAAAAGTGGCACACAAGGCGCAGCCGAACGTCTCACTGAAGTTCAGGCCAGGTTTTGCTGTCTTCTGTGTTCTATTATTAAACAGACCTAATGCATAACAGAATCTATTCGTTATATATCAAAAAGAAGCAAAATGGTGTAAATGTTAATGGAGTCGCCATCTATGCGTCGGTCCTCCAACAGATCATGAAATGCAATCGAAATGCGCGCGTACTTCAGCTCATTAAATACACTGGGATTTTAAATTTCTTTTCAGAGAATGACAAAGTATCAATCCCAATGAAGATCTTTTCCATGGAAACAGGGTCTTGAAAGTAACAAATAGAAACTAACGAACAACTTACTGGGTTATAAGAGGCGCCATGACAGATCGCTGAAGTAAAACCGGAAGTGACATCAGACGCGCTCCATCCGTGCCATTCTCATCAGCATCTGAGCCTGCAAACAGAACAAAAATATTCCCTGACTTTTATACTTTCAGGTTTAGATTTCTGAGTCACTAGAAATTCGAGATACCATTAATAAGGAGGAAGGAGGTTCACGTCTCACCAGCGTAATGGTCAAATACTGCCGGAACCTATCGCGGTTTCCGAAGCAACAAGCAACTAGGTGTATAGTTATTTCAACACAGCGGTCAAACGTAGGACATGCGCGAGGAGATAAATTCTGGCCGGCCCCAATTTCCCGCGCAAAAGTTCAAAGGAAAAGATAAGAAACAAGTGCTGTCTCGCAAAATAAGCGAAAGAACGTTCATAGAAATCTGCAAAAGGAAACAAAAGCAAGGAAAAGGAAAACACAACACTTTTAGAACACAAGGCCTATTCGAGTACTGATATCCTGTTGATTTATCAATTTTGTTTTCAGCTTTTACTTGAATAAAAAAGTTATACACTTTTCAGACACCATGACTTACTACCTTGTGTTGTTGTTTGCAGCTTGTATAAGACACCTTGGTTAAAAATTGCGTGTGAATGATTTTCTCATTTCACTGCAACATCTCTTAAGTGAGCAATAAAAAAAGATTTGTTTGTTTATTTGTTCAGATAGGGAATAGCCACAATCCTAGACATAATTAGTTGGGACACTTATCCAGAACTACTCCCATGGCATTTTTTCACCCCTCTCTCCCTTCCAATGTCGTCAATTGCCAATGTTTCTGTGCCAACTTGCAGAACAACATTGAAAGGGGGAGGATAGGCAAAGGATTCCCCAAGGAATGTGCCTGGGAGTGCAGGTATCAAAACGATCTCTCAAGCCAAGAAGAGGCATCTCTTGCTTTGAAATGTCTTAATCTCATAATCCAGATCTTTCTAAATACGACGAAGACAAAATCTGAACAATCCAGTTCGATGCTTAATACTGTACCTTGCGATACTGGAAATGTGCCCATGGCGCCTCGCAGGAGATTTGATAACGGCTTTTGATCTAAAAATTAAAGATTTCAAATTAAAACAGAAATGAACTCACAAGAAGCAACTTTCCTAGACACGAATAAAGGGGGTAAGTTTCTAAAGAAACTGTGGTGCTGCGTCGGTGGGGGAGTATAACAACACAATTTTGTTTTATCAATTCTGTTGATAATGTAAATTGGCTACCGTAAAGAGTTTCTTCTCAAGCTGACTTTTCGAGCGTCCATCGTCCTTTGGCTCTGACGAAGGGCTAACGCTCGAAACGTCGGTTTTAGAACCTCTCTTACGGTGGCCAATTAACACAATAACCAATTAGTTTGTTCAACCCTCCCTCCCCTCCCCCTAACGACACGGCACCAGAGTTTCTTTTGAAACTTTCCCTACTGAAATCTCGTCGCTGCACCTACCCAACACATCAAAGTTGTCCTGAAGAGGCTCCACTTGAGAAGCTAGCCAAACATCCTCAAACTCCAACTGCCTTGATTGTGGCTGTAAGGTTTCCCCTACCAAAACAAAGTTGATGTAGGCTCAGAAAAAAGGCCACATTTTTTTCCCTTCACATCTCCCACACTTGGTTATATGCGAATTTCGCGCGCTGGCAACGACGATTTCAACATTTGCCTTCAAAACCTTCCAAAGTTCACGAAACAAGTACGGAATGTTTCTGGTTGACTAAAATGAAATCATTAGGGAACACACACAAAGCGACAGAAACGGTAAGCAGTACCAAATTGTCCCATGAAATGGTCAAATTCTTAATTAAACCTAAAAAATAATCAGTGGCGCAAAAGGACTTTGACTAAAGCTCGCGATAATTGATAAAGATTGTGGGAATAACAAGCTGGTAGTAAGAAAGTATTCATGCAAGAGGGTAGTCATGTAAGGGGAAACATTGTTTAGATCAGATTTCAGATTTTCACCAGTGTACCTACACACATGTAAATGACACAATTCGGGATCGTTCGCTAAGAAATAAGAAAATGTCAAAGAGAAAGGTGAGAAAATTCCACTCTAACAGCTTTGATAGAAATACATCTCACATTTTCCCTTACAAAGCTGAGATATTCCTCAAAGACGAAACGAAAAATTGGTCACAAGATCGTTTCTGACTCACCTTCTTTCTCTTTAACGTAATACAAAATATTCTTTATCTTCCCAGCAGGCTCCTGGCCACGTGTTGACAACCTTGTCCCCTCTCCTACTACCCCCTCCCCACTTGGATACAATATGTCCTGAATAACACTTTGGGGAGGGGCTCCACGAGTGTGCACCGGTCTATTTGATTGTTCTGACTCTCCCTCTCTTGGGTACAAGATATCCTGAGCAGGTGTTGATTGTCCATCAGGTTTAGGATAGAGAATATCTTGAACCACGCTCGAGGGAGGGGTACCACGGGTCGTATTTTGGCTGTCACCCAAAACATCGATGTCTCCTAAAAGCTTCTGAATAGAGGCGTCGGAAGGGTGTTGCCAATTTTGTCTGGAACTGCGCTGGATAACTTGGGCTACACTGTCGCCGTGTGAAAAAGTCACCTGGGAATCTGAGGGGTGCCCATGTTGGGAGTAAGAATGGGTCTGTGAATTGGGTGTGTCCAGAGTATCGGGGCACAACAACCCGCTTACAGATGAGTCACTGGGGTGTCCATGTTCCGAAGAACGAGCTTCAGAAATGGTTCCTTCCTGGGTACCGCTAGTGTTTAGAAGGTGCTGGGCGGTGGAATCGGATGGATGTCCTTGTGCGGACGGCGTTCGAACTTCAGACGCCGCTCCCATTGCGCTGCTGCCGTATAATATGTCTTGGGCTGAAGAATCCGAGGGATGACTCGAAACAAGGCCACGCACGTTCACATCTGAAGGCCGGGTTACCATGGTCACAGACTCGGCATCCAGGCCTAATGTCGAGTTTGAGGGTGTAGTGGGATACAAAACGTTTTGCAAAGATGAATCACCAACGTGAGGAGTGCTGGTTTTTAAATTGCGATCGTGTAAACCATAATCTGGCGTCTCGCTTTCTTCGCTGGTCTTACGTTTGTCGCTATACATGGCAAACTGTATGGAGGAATCAGAAGGATGGCTCTTGGGAAGAGAAGATGCTATCTTCACCTCACCATCGGGTGGGGCTTCCCAAGTCTTTCTGCCCGTACCTGCTTCAGTCATCTTCCCAAGCTCGGCAACACTCTCAGCAGGGCTGTCCCAAGTCCTTCTGACTCTGTTTTCCGAAGCAGATTCCTCCGAGTGCGATCCAGCCTCCCTGTCGAACTGCGTGCTTTCGCCCAAGCTCGTGTGCCCTGCTCTAACCAAGGCATCTGTTTTTACGCCACTGGCTATAAGTGACACAAGGCTTGGACTCGGAGCCGAAATTGGAGTGGAAGGTCTTTCTTCCTTGGAAACAGACTTTTCTTCGAGTCGTTTCTCACGCCGTTCGTCGCTTTCATCCGTTATTTCACCAGAAGTCTGGGTACCAGACGCTTGTGTCATCTGCTCCTGTAAGCTGTCTAACCGAGCCTGCTCCTGCACAAAGAACTGGGCTCTAGCAGGGTCGAGTAACCGACGGCGGATGTGCCATTGGGCACGAAACTCTCGGTACTCCACCTCACGGCTGAGTTCCTCATAGTACTTGATGAGCTCTTCCCTGTGAAAGAAATTTAAAAATTCGAATTTTGTAGGAACTCAGAGAGTTCACCTCCACTCTAGTGAGCTCTTAAGGAAACCGACTTCGTGCAATTTGCATCTTGACACCATAGGAACTAGTTGCAAACACGGAAATCTTATCAACCGCCACGATCATAACAAGGGCGAGAAATAGAGTACGAATGGTGCCACGCGCGGGAAAATCACGTGGCTCAAACCAAAACTATGTTTTCTAATAGGCTAAGAAAAAGCGTCTGTAATCCAACTGGCTGTAGCACACTCCACGCACTACAAGAGCTCACAGTGACGACCACTTAGCTCCAAATCGACACGACAGAAACACTACTCCGCGAGGACACTTTGGAAAACAGAAAAGATATGGAACCCTCAGTACCTTGCTTTGTTCTTCATCTCTTCTTCAACTGTTGCAGTAGTGACCTCCTTGTCTTTCGCTGCTTTTAAACGTTTAATGTCCTCCTCCCTCTCCTCCTCTCTCGCCAAGGCCTTATGCTGGAGGCAACAAAGTTTTGGAAAGTTACTGCCTGTGCTCCGTTTGATTTAGTAACCTTAACTTAGTGAGGGTGCAGATTTAGCATAAAAAGCAGCATGAGTAATCGACGGCAGATGAGCCAATAGGCACGAAACTCTGGCCCGCGAGATTCGAGCAAGCAAGCGAGTGAGCGTGCGAGGTCTGCGAGGGGTCTGGCACGAAAGGAATTCAAGAGATGAAGGGGATCTGCACCTTAACAACTAAAGGGATCACCCCCACCCCCCCCCTTAGTTATGTCTTTCATGGCGCCACACCAATCAGATCAGGGAGAAGTCTGTATTTTCGCGGAAGATTTCCAAAATTTGCTAAAAGCTCTAGAAACTCTTCCCAGGCTATTTGTTCTCCTACACTAGACGTGTTCAGTAAAGGACTTCTTATAATTATCATTACAAGCAAGATTGACTCGATGTCCTGAAGAAAACTTTAAATTTGATCGGAGTCAACAAACCTTAAACGCCTCTTCCATTTGTTCTTTTAACATCTTTAAGTCTTCTCGCTTCTTCTGCTCGACTGCTTCTTTAGCCTTTTGAATAAGCTCTATTGAGAAAAAAGCGTTGATAGCCATCAGCTCCTCTCAAGGGAGGCCGCCTGGAGGATGCCCTTATAAGCGCTGCTGCATGCGCATTTCTCCACCCGCGGGAAGATTAGAGACGAGTCACCGAGAGGTTTACCGAAGGTCTGGCACTAATAAAGATTAATGCCAGACACCTCGCCGAATTCTCGCCAGCCCTCTTTACCCAAGGACTCAGACTTTCTCACGGGCTTAGAAACGCTCGTGTCGCAGTACAGAACAAATCTAGCTTTATAAAAACCAACCTGTTATCTCCGCTAAGGCTTTTGCAGCCCTTTCACGTTCTTCAACAATTTCACGTTCTCTTTCGTCCTCAATGACTTTCCTCTGATAAAATGAGAGAACCATTTCGAAATTAGACTATTATAAATGACTTCATCGCTTACAAAATACTTCTTTACTTTTTTTTTTTTTGGGGGGGGAGGGGGGCAGGGGAGAATTAAGGTTCTCCCTCAAAATTTTACTCTGGGAGTTCCTACGACTCCTTCAACCTATGTTTAAGAATCCCAGAAAAAAGTAGAAGGATCCACGCTTAGTATTGTTTGAAATTGGGGGAAAACCATCTAATATTTCGTTCCATGACCTATTGCGCTGCACAGTGTTGTGGTAAGGGATTCCAATACTTCCACGTTTTAAGGTTTTAAAGAAGGCGTCAAAGAACTTAACGAAAATAACAAAAGCTACTTTCATTCTGAAAATAGTTCTTCGCAGATCTACTCCGGTTTGAATTAAATCAGTAGTGAAATAGACTGACACCCAAACCATATGTGAACAAAAAAACGTGTTCTTTGTGCCGTTTTACATTTTTTTGTATTTTCAGCCAATAAGTGCGTCCTTGACGCGCACTTGCACCAAATCCAGGTGCCAAAAAAAAACTATGACCATTTCTACTGTTTACCTCATTTTCTCGTTGCTCTTGAAGTTGCCGATGCATTCTTTGTATCTCACTCATGTAGTGTTGGCATTCCGCCTCTATTCTACTAAGTCGTTGCATTGAAAATGTCACCTCCATTTTAGGAAGGGGAATTCCTGGATCACATAAAAAGTGCTGAAAAAAAAAAAAAAAAAAAAAAAAAACGACATACCATTAATGACATGAAAAAACATCTTATCAAAAAAGTATCTCAAATATCCTTAACCGCGTCCGACGTTTAACCCATTGGACCCCACTAGCGACGTACATTTAAATTCTCCTTACAATATAACGCCTCAATATCACATAAAGGTCACGAGAATAAAGGCAATGATCACCAACTAGAGAATCTCTCGATTGTTACACAAATTCTCCTTGTCAGCATCTTAGGAAATGTTTGGAGAACAGTATGGAGAATATACATCTTAGGAATACGTTGTAAAATGAAGAACTTAAGACGACACTCACCCCTGGGCAGCAAAGTTTTAACAAATTAATTGTTTTTCCACAAACAAAAATGTCATCTGCAAGTTCACCCAGAAACAGAGGCACGCAGTCAAGTTTGTCACGACCGACCATTATAAATCCTTGCGTCCAAAAGTGTTTATCTGAGGAAATAAAGTGAATGAAATAACTTGAGTTTGAAAACCGGAACGAAGGAACGAAGGAACGAAGGAACGAAGGAACGAAGGAACGAAGGAACGAAGGAACGAAGGAACGAAGGAACGAAGGAACGAAGGAACGAAGGAACGAAGGAACGAAGGAACGAAGGAACGAAGGAACGAAGGAACGAAGGAACGAAGGAACGAAGGAACGAAGGAACGAAGGAACGAAAGAACGAAGGAGCGTAAGAACGAAGGAACGAAGGAACGGAGGAACGAAGGGAACGAAGGAACGAAGGAGCGAAGGAGCGAAGGAGCGAAGAAAGATCTACCTTGAACAGAATAAAATACTCTCACCTCTGTAGGCTAAGTATTGTTCATCCATTTCAATCATGAACTCGCCAAACATATCATTGCAAATCCCCTTAAAAACCCATGTTTGAATGAATCTAAAAGGATGGACGAATACAAGAATTAAAAAGCACAACACAAAATTGATCTGTTGTTTCCTTGTCTCCAGAATCGGAGAATAGCTTTATAATCACTTGATGGTCATTTAGAACTGAAATTCGACAAAGAGACCTGAAAAATTTGCCCGCACCTATCTGCGAAATTTTCAGGATTCTATTTCCGCACTTTTAAAGGTTACCAGTGAGCACTCTTCCTTCATTTGAAATCTCCACTAGTCAAAATTATGAGTTTCATAACCTTCCTTGTGTTAGAAAATTTTTCAATAGAGTGTCGAAAGTTATACGGGATTGCATTGGTTTTGCTTTACTTCGCTCTGTGATTGGCCTAGAAAACTTGCGTTACTCTCTAAACCAATCAGATTCAAACTATAACCAATACAAATTGGGCACCCGCGTTTCCCCGCGCTTTAAGCAGTTTGGTTGTTTTAACTCAGAGTCTTCATGGCTTTTAAAGGCATTTTTGGGATTATTTCGGTTTGGGTTTAACGACTCTCAATCGAAAAGCGCTTTACTTGAAATCACAAAATGACAGGATATCCAGTTCCTCCGTGAGCTTTTTCTTGCTTTTCTAAATCAGCAAAAAATTGACCTAGAAATCCTGTTTCATCTAAACTATCTCTCACATCAAGACAAACAAGACAACAGTCCCCGAACAGACAACAGTCCCCGAACACTGAACTTCTGAGTGACACAGTAACCCCAAATACTCTTTTTCCTACAAAACCAGCTTGCGGCACAGTGAGCCCAAGAAACCCTTTCGCTCTTAGGCCCATATCCCACAATTCTTTGCTAAATAATGAAGAGAATATGATGTTAGATCACGATCTCAGGACAAAGCTGATAACATTCTCCTCTCCAAACCTGTTGGTTTTAATATGTATCAAAAACGTTAGGAGAAACTGCATACCAATAATTATTGGCTGTGAAAGGTTTAACAACTTACATGATGTATGGCTGCACACTGTGTTTGAGAAGAGACAGCAGGATGGAGTAGGACTGAGAACTAGAGTGCTCTAAGCAAAGCTGGTATAAGTATGTTAAGAGTCTGACACCCTGAGGATTGGATCAATACAAAAATGAGCGTAAGTGAAATTTAGATCAAAAATATAATCAGCTGTAAGTAACTACATTTTAACTTAGTTTTAAATAGATTGCAGGGCGTGAAATTAACTTTTTTTTTCTGATAGCCACTTGGCTCCTAAATTCTTCAAAGTGGTAGCCAATTCAAAAAAAAGTTGGTCGCCATTTTCAAAGAAAAACAAAATCTTTCTTTATGCTGTCAGCGTTCTAGATAGACCCTCCAAAATTAAGTTAGGGAAAAAGATCTTTAACGTGCTACAAAGCGGACACTAGGATGGATGATATACAACCTTCAGGCTCATCTAAATCCAAGATGGCGTCTAGTTGTCGATCGAGAAGTACGTGCTACGTTTTAGAAACAAACTTAATAAGGAAGTTTGCCGCGGATTTATCTTTGCAAATCTTTTTAATTCACGATATCTCTTGGTAAGGTTATGATGAAACGTTCTAGTCGCCAATTTGGCGACTAACTTTCAGGATTTGGTCGCCAAAGTGAAAAATTTAGTCGCATTGGCGCCTGTATTAGGCGCAATTTCACGCCCTGGATTGAAAAAAGACGGCTGGAGTAAGCAGCAGAAACAAAACATGGGCAGGGTAACTGCCGTCAAGAATGGTACCATACCTTTAAAAAAGAATGTAAAAAAAAAACAACTCTTTGTCCCACGCTCGTGACAAAACGAAGAACATATTTCTCTTTTTTCTCATTTTTCCCATCTTTCTTATTCTATTTACAAACATGACGCTACCGACATCGCTGATCCTAGCAGTATGCAGGACGCGTGTCATATATGAACTTCGTAATAGACCTCGCTCGCCGTAAAGTCTCTGTGGCTCAGTGGTCGAGCATCCGAGCGCGGAATCTGAAGGTCTGAGGTTAAATTCCTCATGGGAACTCAAAATTTTGCCTTTGTCCCACGCTCGAAACAAGACGAAAAACATCTTTCTTTACAAATGGAACTGCTACAACTCAGTTATGTCTACCTAAAAGTTCCTGTATAAGCTAAAGCGCAAACGTTTTCAAAATTGATTAACTTACCGTGGGGAATTTTGGTTTAGGATCTTCTGGAGCTTTCTTGAAAGCTTCCGAACACATGCAGACATCGGCAAGAAACCTGCAACATGCAACAAAAGACAGAGAACCGCATATTTAACTATTTAAGATCCCATTGCTCAGGACGCATACTATTTAAGAGAAACAAATTCTCTCCATGGGACAGGATTTTAAAAATGAATCAGAACAGATAACAAAGGTTCAAGACTGTTCAGGACTAGACAGGAATGAGAGCAAGCTACTGGGGGGGCATGAGGCATTCCTATTTTCATAAAAAGTGCAGTCTCCATAAATGCATTTTCTGCACTCCGTAATGAGTCATCCTATGTAAAAGCAAGGTTGCTCAACACAAAAATTAATAAGAAGGATGAAAGAACAAAAAACAACAACTGTTGCTCAATCACTTAGAATTCTCTTATTGAAATTTTGTCATGCTATTTATCAAATCTGGAGTAGATGGGAAACACAAGCGAAACAGAGCGAAACATGAAGGAAGTAGTTAATATTTGCTCATTGGAGGTGTCAGCTTGTTAGATCAAGCATTTATTTTCCTATAAAAGCTAAGTTTGTCGTTTGTCTCACGATGTACGAAATTTATTTTTCTGGTTCCAAAGTTCTCCATAAGATCTATCTCAGCAATTTTCAGCAACTAAATACTTCATTTTTGTTATCTTTTTCTACCTTAAGTTTATTTACCTTAGCTGCCTTCCTAGATTTTCAAATGCAAATGACAGCATCATGGGACTTTGCACGGAGGAAACTGTAAAATCAATTAAAAACAATATTTCTAAAAGCCATCTTGACCGTTTAATCATTCAGAGGTAGGAAGTCTACTTCCAGAAGCAGCTCACTAATAATCTCATTTTGAAAGTGTTCTTGGTTCACTGTTTGGTATGATTCCAAAACATTATCTATGCTGTTGAGTAAGTAAAACTGTCGCACCATGACAAAGACGAAAAAAATCTTCACCTTGTTAGGTTGAAAAAAAAGGGGCAGGAGCCTTTCTTGTTTACCAGTCATTTTGTACCCACAGATGTTTCTTACTCAGTCCATTTGCACCCAGCTATGACCATTCATACCCACTCACTTTATTTTTTGTTTCATACCTATATTAATAAATGCAGTCAGACCTGTATTAAGTAGCAATGTATTAAGCCGTCACCAAGTATTAAGTCGTTAGTTGTCAAAGTCATGGATTTGTTTCCACTCACACACTGTAATTTTCACCTCTATTAAGTGGTCACCTCTATTATGCAGTAATGGTCACCCTTTACTAAGTTTCATTGTTTTCCACCTGTACTGAACGGTCACTGAAAGCAGGACCACTAAAGTAATACAAAGAATAATCTTTCACATAATTTTTAATCCATGTTTCTCTCCCAAAATCAAAGTTGTATTTTCGGTCAAGATTCTGTACATTTAGCGTCAATTATGACACAAATTTGGGTTGTTTCACGTTTTCAGTAATACTCCTAATCTGTTGGACCTGTATTTAGCGGTCAACCTTTAATAATAATCACTCTGTCATTCTCCATAGTTGACCGCTTAATACAAGTTCAACTGTAGTTAGTAATTGATAATTTAAGGCATAGCAATTCCATACAAACCTTCTACAGACAGCACTGTTGCTCTGTAGCATTGTAAATAATTTTGAAGAGCTCCAAGGAAAGCCTGCAAAACCAAACCGGCTGAGTGGCCACGGTGATGTGTTGCAAACTTGTTAAGCTGGATGTAATCTGTCCCTATCGCTGCCAGCCGTGCTAAGATGTTGCGCAGCATCTCAGGTGAGGTCCCAGAAAGACGGACCTGATCACTGACAATAAAGGACTGTATAGCCTGTCAAACAAGAAATAAACAAATTACAACATTTTTTGCGTTTCACATAATTGCATCTGAGTTTAGGCATCTTGAACAATTTAGCCAAAAATCATCCAGTTTGTCATTTACAGGCATTCTTTGTTTCACATAGTTGCATCTGAGTTTAGGCATCTTGAAAAATTTAGCCAAAAATAATCCAGTTTGTCATTTACCAGCATTCTTTGCAAAGGCAGATGAAGGGCATTCAGTGAGAGAGACCTGGATTTCCTTGTGGTCAAGGAAGTTTTAGACATCAAAGAAATGACTCTAACTATAATAATTACATTTCAACATATCTGAACACAAAAAGCTGAATCATCTTTCCTAAAATAATCCTCACTTACTTTCATACAGGTTGTGAGTAGTAAACAATGACATCCACACCACAATCACTAAAATTAATTACAGTTGTTTTATTTTACGAGTCAAATATTGTACCTTATCAAGATGAAATGTTCTAGAAGGAACTCCAATAAGTACATTAATGGAATCCTTGATCAGAGCTTGTAAGGGAACCATATTGGGGCTTAAAGTTGGAGACTTCACAATGTAGGAGACTTGACGAATTACTGTATCATACAGTGCATCAAACACAGAAGCACCAGCTTCTGTAAGGTAAGGTTTTTCATTTAAAAGTTCCCGTCTGAAAAACAAAATTAGAAAAAAAAATGTAAATTCTAACACTACTTGCATCTCTTCCAGATCTCTGTAGAATTAGCCCTTTCAGTCCCAAGATCTTAATAGTAATTTTAATCTCTGCCTTCTTTACATTTCTTATAATTGGAGCACTGAGAATTTTTCATTAACACTTTAATCCCTGAGAGTGACCAGCATCTAATTTCTCATTTCACCATCACCCATGAATCAAACATTAAGGTCATGAGGAGAAAGGAAATAATAATTCACTGAAGATCATGATTGTTAAACAAATTCTCCTTGTCAGCACATTAGGAAATGTATAGAGAACAGTATGGAGAATATGCATACTGATGTTGGGGTGTAAAGGGTTAAATCAATTGATATCCCCTTTATGATCATTTCCTTTCTTCTCATCACCTTTTTTGGCTAACTATGAATTGTTACTGTGAGGAGAATTTACTCATTAGTCACTCTGAGGAGTGGATAGGATAACTGATACGCTATTACAGCCTAACAGTAGTTTTCGTATTTTCCTTTTTCATCTCTTTGCTTTTCCTGTGGCAATGATAAGGTTATTTGTTAGACAATCATAAGCTTCTTAAATTGGTGATCATTTCCATGATTCTCATGACATTCACATTTGATTCAAGGTTGATACTGTTAGGTGAAATTAGAAGCCAGTCACACTCAAGGAGCACCCCACCCAAGAATGGAACGCAATAATTCTGCCACTGTTTGAATTTCTAACCTCTTGACCTCTAGAGATACAAGTAGCTCTGTACCCCAGCATACAGATAAGTGTTCCCACAATTAGCCAGATTTAGAGTCAAATGGAAAACAAAAGCATTATGAAAAGAGGAACTTTAAGAATGATTGCTGCTAGCATGCATTCAACCCTTTCTCTCCCAAGATCTGACTGTTAATTCTCTCCTCTAGCTGCTGCATATTTCCATATAAATTACACAAATTTGGTGTTAGATCAAGAAAACAACTTGTATACCTAAATTTGAGTAAGTTTGGGTCACAGTGTGCATGTCTATCACTTCTGGGAGTTATAGGGTGAACCCTTTAACCCCTAAGAGTGACTGGCATCTAATTTCTCCTTACCATATCACCCCTGAATAAAAAATTAAGGTCAGGAGAATAAAGAAACTAATCACCCACTACAGTAACTCTTGATTGTTCCACAAATTCTCCATGTCAGCATCTTAGGAAACGTTTAAAGAACAGTTTGGAGAATATACATACTGATTTTGTGGTGTAAATGGTTCACATGCCACATTTGCATAATGAATATTGAACTTCACAGTCAGGCATAAGAGGTTATAATAGAAAGAAGACTGAGGAAAAAACTTACTTTCCTTCCATTTCCCAGGTATAAAACTTTTGCGGTGGCAATGTTAAAGCTGCAGACCAGACATCAGTATTTTCTTGAGTGGATTGCTCTGAGGTGTGAGAAGATTCAGAGCTTGTCTCTAAAGACTCAAACCCTTCATCATCTGCACTCTAAATAGAGGAAATAAAATTGTCATTGTTATATCTCTCAGTCCGTATTTCCCTTTCTATTTGAACCCCAAGAGATAATAAATATCCTACTAACCTTGTTTCCTGAGTCCATACCTAAAGTTACAGAAACTTGCTTTTTTTCAGTTATGATTTATGGCCTGCATGATTCACCCTTGAGCCATAAAACAGAAAAAACTTGGTCTATAGCTTACAGTATGGCCCTTGGACTTGGTTTGTAGGAGGTATTTTTTTTTTTTTTTTTTTTTTTTTTTTTAGGATGCATCACCTTTGAGGTGACAGATAGTCAGGATCCAGAACTACAACCACTAGGTTGCCTATGTGACTGAAAATATATTGTGGGCAAAAAGAATGTTGGGCTTCACCAACAGAAGTTGACTTACTAAGTCTCTTTCCAATTCTCTAACCCAAAGTTCAAAAAGTTTATTTTTGAAAAAGTTCAGGCTTGGTTTCAAGGAGGATTCTCATCCTACATTTACCTAAGTTTGTCTTGGAGGTTTCATCCTCCAGTGAAAATAGGCTAAGTTTTAAAAGGAGTTTGTACTTGACCCCAAAATAAAAATTTTGTTAAAGAAACCGCATTAGAACTATCATTTTTGTATTTGACTATGAAGTAAAAATCATACAAATCAAAACTTGCTAATACATCAAAACCTCTAGTCACCAGATTTTTCCATTTGACAGTTAGTAAACAATACTCAAAGTTAATTTCAGACCGCAATAGGGTTGATTTGGTTGAATTTTGACAACTAGCGGATTACAATAGGCATAAGTTTTGGATCTGCTTAAATTCTACAGAAATTACATGTTTAGTAATGTTGCAACTTTTTAAGCAATAAACTAACCTCTCTCTGTTCCAGGGCTAAGGAATGAAGAGTCCTGTACAAAAACAAATGCAAAATCTCTCAGTCATAGATATCATTTTAGAATGGACCCAATAAAGGGTAGCAGTAAGAATGCCCTGCCCCACCATACACTGTCACTTGAGCAAGTTGGATCATTTGGGTTCCCACCCCCCCTCCCTCATATCTTGATCCAGTGTTCTTGTTGAGTGTTCACAATAATTTGTTAGTTTACCTGGAACTGCTAGGAATGTCAGGTAAATCCAGCTTCACATGCAGGTCATCAGTGTGGCTGTGAACAAGTGCACTAAATAATGAAGAACGCTCATTCTTTTCATACAGATCTTCATTGCCATCCTGAAAAATGATTAAAAAGAGAAGATTAAAAGTAATGAGCTACCATACCCTAAATAATAACATAAAACTTCAGATGAAATGCACTATTTTTCCCATCAATATGGGTGCAGTTTTATCTAGAGGGGGAGTGGAGGAAGGAGGGGGGCGCTGGCTGGACAGTAGGGACCCTTGGATAAGGCAAGCACTTACTTTCCTTTCAACCCCTTACACCCTTTACATCAGTATGTATATTCTCCATACCAATCTTCAGAAATTCCCTTTGGTACTGACAAGGAGAATTTGACAACCAGGAGCTTCCTAAGTTTGAAATCATACATGTATTTTTGTGACAGTTATGTTTGATTTTGGGGTAATATTGTGAAGAAAAATTAAATGTATATGTTAGTCACTCTCAGAGTTTACAGGGTTTAGTGAAACAGCACATTTGAGACGAGAGAAAATGGGCTGAAAGGTGACAATTAACCCTCTTGAAGTTTTGTTATCCAGTAACATAGTTTATTCTTATGTTTCAATATGGATTTTTTTTTCTATATATAAAAAAATTCTGTAAGTACAGTGTTTAAAAACCACAAGCATCTTACCTGACAAGGCAAGAAGAGTGCTTTTCCAGGAAATGTCCCTGGCATTTCCTCAAAGATCTAGAAAGAAAATATATAAATAAATAAAGATACCATCGATAATTGCAGTTACAGCTTTTGTACTTCCTCAACAACCTGTGGTTTGAATTCTACTCTGTAGGCAACCTTTTTCAAAATCGATTGTATTAATTTTGTAAACAATAAACGATACTCAACAATAAACTATACTCACCTGCAGTTCAGCATGCCGTTTGCCTGTTGATCCATCAGTTCCTGGAACTGAGAGGACCGGAGGACATTCAAACAACTCCCTGTTTAACATCAAAGATAAAATAAAACCTACTGTTATTTAGATATTAGGGACTTTAAGCTGGCAAAACAGAGGTGCAGAGGAAAACATCAATTGAAAAATGTTATTCTTTTTCGTCACTTTCCAAAATGATTGAATGTGTTTGCTGTCTCTGACAACACTTCACTTCAAAAGGAGGCAGTGTGGCTGAGGATTTAGGGTGCTGGACTCGTAATTTGGTGGTCCTGGGTTCAAGTGCTCTGCCCTGCCACTCACTGGATTTGTTCTCGGTTGCCACAAGTTCAACTCGAGTGGACAGAATGTGTCATGTGTGCGCACTGTTGTCTTGCATTTCCCTGAGTTAACTGTTGTTTTCTTTTGTTGTTTTGTTTATGAAAACCTATAACTAATGTTTAGTTTCTTTCTCAAATATTGTCATAGTTTTGATCAATTGGTAACAGGACTTTACGTCTTTCAATTCTGCCTGCAATCATATTTGTGATTAACAAATCAGACTGCTGGTCATCCAATTAAATGTATATCACTCGTATGATTACAGACTAAAATGGACTCTACTCAGTCCTATCACCATTTTAAATTTTCTTTGTCTACATCACCAGCTCAATTACACACATTTTAAATGGTTCTTACTTATGATCTTTTTGAGGAAAGATGCATCTATAGATGATATCACCATTAAAAACATTTTGCTTTTTGTAATCATATGAAACAAATAGATTCCATGTTGCTGTGGGTCTGTGATGTAATCAATTACTGAAGACATCACAATGTGGCCAGAACATCAGTGACACACTCTGCACCTCGTGAGCCACATTTTTTGTCTTTACCAAATTTAGTTATCATCTGTGATCTATTATTGAAGGATGCATGACAATGTGGAATCTATGCATTAAATTGTACAGTTTGTTAACCCTTTAACTCCCAAGTTCTCTTTATTACTGTTACACATTTCCTTGTAAATTAGTTATGAGAATTTAGTGTGAGATCAAGATAACAATTTCTACCTGATAAGTTGGAGTTTTCTCATTACCTGTTTGTAGGATAATACATATGGATATTATAGGGAGAAGTTACATTTCTATCGGTTCTGAGAGTTTAATGGTTAAGATGAAGACACCAAAGTCCTTTTCTTCTCACAATGGTGACCAAAACAGGCAGAGCTTGGAGAGTGGTTTTTACACCATATACAGTATCTCTGGACATTCAAATTGTCCAAAAATATGTACAGGCTATGCCAACCAGAACCAAAAATAATGGTTTTATCAGTCACTGCATAAAAAGTAAAGTTTACGGCACTGCCACAGACCTTGAGTAATGGACGTAGTGCTCAAATTCTAATCCTTGTTGTCTCAGAAGCTGACTGTCTGTAACAAGAAGAGGTCCCTCTGGAAGAGAAGTCTTTTGGATCTAAAAAGCACAAACTAATAATCATTTAAACAAATACCCATGTTTTTTGTTACCTTGTCATGAGCATGAGACAGACAAAAAATTCTCAGTTCACATGCTGCAGAATCATATCTCAAACATCTGTATGCAACACTCCAATGCTCAATCAATGAGCAAGTCAGAGATTCCATGATGACCTGGGCTATGAATCAGGTTCGCATGTTACATGCCTTTCCCACGTCGTTGGGGCCAGCCATGTCAAAAGTGTTATGTGAGTCAATGGAGAAAGAAATGTGGCAAATTTTAAGCTTGATAATGAAATTAAAAAGGTATTTTAGCCTTGTCACAAACACAGAGAAGAGAAAAAATGCAGAGTTCCTGATAGTAATCAGACCTCAGACCTTAGGACTCAGCACTGTGATGCTCTTCCACTATGACTTTCTCACCTCCCCCTCCCCTCTCCCCTACCCCTCCTGAGACCCCCCTCCCCCTCCACCCTTAAAATATCATATTCTCCAAACTTTTATCTAAACATCTCCTAAGGTGCTGACAAAGAGAATTTGTTTAACAATCAGGAGCTTCCTTAGTTGGTGATCATTTCCTATATTCTTGAGATCTTAATGTTTGATTCAAGGGTGACATTGTAAGGAGAAAATAGAAGTTTGTCACTCTCAGGGGGTTAAAGGGTTAATCTTCCAATCAATTTTATGGCTTCTTCACCTGATTAAGTCCTCTGGCCCAGACGTCATCCTGATAACCCAGCACTGATGTTGGTCCATAATGCCCTGTTCCCGTCAATGCAACAAGAAATCTCAACACAGCTTCCTTCTCTGTTGCATTTGTCTCTTTTGTGCTGTTAAATTTAATGGCACTGCTTGAGAGCTCTGTTAGAAAACAAAACTTTGCACAGTGAATTTAACAAGATGGGAAATGCAAAGTAAATGTTACGTGATAGCATGCTGGATGGCATATCATGGGGTAGGTCAAGTACAAAGTATGTTATTGTGTTGTCTTCTTAGCCAAGAACACTTCATTTTAACTTCACTTCACAATGCCTTGCACTACCTTGAAGTATAAATGGGTACCAGTCCACTATCATGGAAGCCTAGTGAAATGCTGGGGGGGGGGGGGTAATGTGCTGCTCAATTTGAACCTCTATTACAAGGGAAAATACAAGCATTTGACAGGAAATTTGAAAGGGGTGTGTGAAGTTCATGTTTTAAGGCTAGGTCAATGCATTCAAAGTTATAATTGCTGATTTTGCCTTAGGGTGGGCATTTAAACACAATTTTTGCCTTAGGGGCAGGAACTAGTACAAACCAATCTCCAAAAGTTCAAATTCCCAGGGGGTTGCCAGGGAGGGGGGAAATGTTGAGGCTTGATTGACTGCATAACCAGAAATGAATGGCATCCATCCTGAGAGAGTGCACAAACTCTTAGTTGTGTCAAGCCACAGAAACAGGGGATGCACACAAGCAGCTATGGACCTCTGAGACCTAACCCTATGTTAAATGCATAGGGATCATTGTTTTAATGTTTGAATATTCAAAATTTTGTAAAATACCCAAATCTAAAATAATTTGTTGCTTACATGTCTCACAGTACTTTTTTAATGAAGTAAATAAGGGACTTGCACCCACTTGTTATGTGACTCATAGTGCTGGAACTTATTGAATTTTCTTTGGCATGCACCAATAATAATAATGCCACATGTGTGTACATTCCCCCTGGGTTAGTTGCTAATTTACTGCAGGTGAACCTTCAAAATCATTCGGATTTTCCTGTCAGTTCAGCTTCACTGAAATCATGAAGGCCTGCTGTGCACACTTAATAAAATAGCATTTAATGCCAATATCAAGGAGCTCAATAGCAAAGCGCAGCAATTTGTTGCATTCCATTCAATTGCATGGTTGTACATACAGTGTACGTGCTAACAATAATTAAAAACAGTTATGGGAAATGTTTGCAGTCTCTTCATATCTGAGTAGTTTCCTCTGCAGCTAATATAATCATACGGGCAAAACATAAGCTTATGCTTCCTCGATCACAATTTTCTCCGTAGATATCGAAATATATCTACGGACACACATCGTATATTAGACTTAAAATTTTAAACCTACCTTGCAAATTCCTCCACTGACAAACGAAATGATCCAATTTCTCCGCATCATCAAACCTCCTAGCTATCCTCAATTTGAATGCAGCGATCGACAGTTTATCATAAATATTGAATCGTAAATCATCTTTCTTCTCAGCTTTATCGCCAGTGCGAACTAATTCACTAATCCAAGGAGCTCGAAGTTCTTCGAAAAGGGTCTCGTAGAGGCAAACTTTTAAAGCCTTTTGCCTTTTATCCGTGTAACGTGGACGCCTGTAAATATCCCATCCTATGTTAGCTTCATTTTTGAAGGATTTCTCGCAGAGTTTGGAGAAAAGAAACGATAACCTTTCACTTTCCTCATCCATATTCCTCCATTTTCCCCGCCAATAAAGATCAATATAAATGCTTGGTAACCATACCTTTTGTACTTCCCACGCGCGGTTCACGCGCAGCTAGCTATGCAAAAAGTTCGAAATCACGCAACATTATACGTATAGATAACTTTATCGGTTACTCTTTGCACAATTTTTTTTTCCGGTATATTGTTCAAAAATTAATTCCCTCCTTTGAAATGAAAGGTGGCACGGTAAGATAAATTATGGTTGAAAAAATCTGATAAGACTTTGGACAGATATGTATTTAAAATTAAGGGGGCAGCGAATGGTTAAAGACTTGCAATACGACAAAACCGGTAAACCCACGTCTAAAAATCCTAAACAATTTTAGCTACACAAAATCTTTAATTTTAACCATAAATTGTGCTCAGATTAAGACAGGGTACTTAAAATGACAAGGAAGTTTTGCGGTAGAACTGCGTTTAAATTGCGATGTATCAGCGGAATCTATACCATCGCGAGCCGAGGTCATTTTCAAACAACAGCGGTAAAGTACAAAACAGTTCGTTTCTCCCAAAGATGACTCTAACTCGCCTCGGCTATCGTTTGATAGAGACCCTCCGCTATAAGAAAAAAAATATCCGTCTTTAAAAAGACTCTGAAAAAAAATGTGAAATTTTGTACGTGACCGAAATAAAGAAACTTAACGACTTACCACTGAAGCCTGACAAGATCTATAGATCGCGTACAAGCATGAGTTGTTAGACCCGTGGTTTTTCAAGTTATACCAATTTCCACCCGGCTTATTCAGGAAAAGACCCCGACGCATCCAGGCTTAGGGTTACAGTCATATCTACTTAAACTACACTTAAAATTTTATCATCGAAACTAGTCTGACATCCCGCCTAAGCGACGCCTTGCTGTTGTGATACAGACACAAAATCTGTCTCAAGATTAACCACTCAAATTATGTACATTTTAGCGGTAGAATACAAGTCATTTTAATTTAATTTCTAGCTCGTGATTACAGAATTATTGATGATATTTATACGATTGTAATCGCTTTTCGTGATCAGAGGAAATCTCCATCGCTCCTTTAGCATGTCTCCTGTGAAGAAGAGATCTTTGATACGACAGGAGAGTTATCATGCCCAAGTCTACTTCAGCGCAAATGAATTTCCAGACTTCGATGTTGTTTCTGCTGTTTTCTACTTTAGGTAAGTCTCAAAAAAAGTTTGTTAGCAGAAATACCTTTTTAAACTTGAGGTATTCACAGAAACTGACAGATTCGCTCAAAGAATTTTTCGAAAAAAAAAAAAACATGAAAAAAATTACCGCGGTATATCTCATAAAGAAATTGAAAACGACACAAGCCTCGATTCAATGTTGCAGATAATATTCATGTAAGATTCAGTAAGCTTCAGAATTTCTGACTTTTGACAATGCTGGGTCGGAATATAGAGATACCTTGGAAAGGTCATTTCCTATCAGTTCCATCATGAAACCCGCTCCAAGATTGTTATAATTCGATCTTAGGATAAAGTGCAACACAGAATGATATTCAAAGATTTCAATTTAGCTTAGTTCTTGGTTTAAAGAACTCGCGATGAGAAGTAATATTTGCAAATACAACAAAGTTACTATTTAATTCTAACTTTTAAAAGGGGGACCTCGTTGATTCAATCTCCTAACTGGTTTTTTTCGTGTGGCAAAATCTCGAGAATCATTACCAGCGAAAAGTAAAGAATCTATATTGTTTGTAAAGAGGTTGCTGAATTCAAAATTAAAAAAGAATTTTTCAAAATTATTCATGAAAAAGACATTGTCGCCATGTGGTTTCTGAGGTTCAGCTCAGCTCCACAAAAAATTATTCGTAATTATTTTGTGGGGACGAAACCTGATTGAGCTGTGCATGGCAAATGAGAATTAAATAGCAAAACTCCTTTTCATATTTTATATTTGCTGATAGAAAGGGAATCTTTTCTAGGTTTTAAACCGAAATATAGTCCTAGAATCTATGTAGCGACAGTTTAAATCCGAACTAGTTGTATCCCGACTAGAAATTTCCAGAACTTTGATACTCACCTTACTGGAGCATATAACAATAAAAATTGACATCCTTATCGCGTTTAATTAAAACATCATGAAAATTTAATGAATACAAAAGTGTTCCTTTTTCTCCTGGGTGCAATTTCCCGAAAGAACTACAACCACTTGCAAAAGTAGTTCAGGCATATTACTGTGACAAGAGAAAATTTTTAATGTATCACCTACCCTCTATTGTTTGATCTAACACCAAATTCTCGGAGCTAAAATTACGAGAAATTTATGGCTGGTGGTGAGGATAATTGCACGTTATTATGATCTCTATGAGGGGAAAGAGTTTGGTATCTCTCTCTAATTTGCGTTCTTGTTCTCTGTGTCAGTTTTTCAAATGATGGTTCAAATAACTGATGGCGATATCGGCTCCTGCAGTCTCCACATGTATTTTTATGAAACCCGGAGCAGTTGTGAGACTCCTTTTTATCGGAGACTTCAGCTTGGTCACACAGCCAACTGCAGGTGAGAGAGGCATGTTACTTCTAACAATAAGTGTTATTCAAAGAGAGCCTTCTCTCCGATTCTAGACTAAAGTTTAAATCACCTATTCCTTGTCGCAAAAGGGATGTCCCTTTATGAAAAATATTGAGGAGCTTGACTGTCTAAAGTTCGAAACGATGCCCCCTAAGTGATGTGCTGAGAGGGCCCTCTGAGAGACTAAAGCTTACATCACCGCTTTCCCTCCCCCAGCCTTTCCCAAGAAAAGGGCCACCACATGGAAAATATTGGGTAGTTCGTCGGAGGTTTGTTTTAATATCCTTAAGTAATGTCGTAGAGTCTCGTAAAACAATCCGTTCGCTTGCCCTAGGAGGGCCTAAAGTTTATATCACCTATGTCAGCTCCCCCCATGCCCCCAGCCTGTCCTGATCGAGCTAGGAGGAGTCTCCCATTTGAAAATTATCGGAAGGCATATCAGAAGTTTGAATTAATCTTCTGAGAGTAGCTAAAGTCTCATTTGATTTTTTTAAAGATAAAAAACGATGAGTCAAATATTACCGTATCGTCCCAAACACTCGTCTTTGGAGACAGCCGAGCATCATTCAGATCTCCATGCGATAGTGCTCCCCCCCCCCGACTCATCTCGGCTATCTACCCGTCTAATTTCATTAAAAAAAAATCAGTGTATCGATCTTCATAAATAAAGAGACTGTATTAAGCATTAGGAAAAGGCTGTTTAAACCAGTCTGAATCAATTTTAAATTTCTCTTGACAGTGATAGTTTTGAAAGTCTCATTAGTTGCATCAAGAACGTCACTCGCGTTTGTGAACACAGTTGGCGAAGCGATAAATGGATAGACATGAACGTCAGATTGAAATTCAGGAGGCAGTTTTATTGTCATGATGGGGCTTTGATTCTTCCCATGGTTTTGTGTAGGAGCGGTTACTACAGAAAAGGTCCGAAATGCGTGCGAGAGTTCCATAGGAAGTTTCGAAACGACACCAGTGACCCGTCGCTGTGCGAGTAAGTGGCTTTTAAGGAGACACTTCTGGGGGCTGATCGAGCCTTAACGTTTCTTTGATGGGTTGAATTTACACCGATCATTGTCTGTTGAGGAGGAGATGGTGCTGTCACGAGAGCGCACTATGACCCGCTCGTCTCGAGGGAGTGAGTACTCCTTAGAAAGGCCCATACTGGAAGGCTCCGCCCAAATAAGGTCCTTTTCAAGGTTTAGGGATGTATAGTTTGATAGAGAAACATTTCCCATCAAAACTTGTATATACCAGGGGAAGGAATTTAACCTGCGGGTAAGGAACCTCCCCATGTGAAACTCTTACAAGTCCCGATCCCCCTACTCCCCACCCCCCTCTTGTCCCCCTCTGTCCGATTGCGGTCCTGAGGCGAAGGTTGTTCTCGAAGGTCCTGGTAACTTAGTGGACCCGTAAAGCTGTTCTGTTTTTATTTAAACCGGGGTCTCAAAAAAAACATGGATGCCAGAGCCTGTTTCTTTATCCTTTGAATTTTTATTTTAAAATATGGCTTTGGGCCCGTTAAGTTACTTGGACTTTCAGGAAACGGGCCATTGGAGCACGAGGGTTTTTCTCCGAATTCTTCGGTCCTGTTCCCCAACAAAACTAACACTCACTTTGAATTTCAAATTGATTTGACGGAAGTACGTGAAGATTCGTTTCATAAGCGCGCTATTACCCGGGTCAAATGTTTCGTACTTTTCCCAAAAATGTTTTTTTAAATTTTTTACCTATTTGCATTAATCATTAGCCCTTCAGGCAAGAGCAAAAATTTCCAATGTTTTCTCAGTATTATTTTCGGATGAATGCCTTTATTTAAAAATAAAAATAAACCTCAGGGTAGCCCCGTCAGAAGCCCTAAAGAGCCACCTGCTATCAATGGGAGCCCTGCCCTATTTTTTACTTTAAATAAAAGACTTGAGTTCTATTAACGTTCCATTTCTAATATTGCAGCGAGTACTCAAAGGCTAAGGATTGTATAAAGAATCTTTTAAACATTGAATGCCCTGCTAAGAAAGGCTCAGAATCACCTCTCATGAAGATATTATTTGACGGCTACAATCCCTTCTGCCCTAACAGAGTTTATTATCCTCCGACTACAGTTACAACACTCACACGCAGAACTCAGCAGAAATCTGAAAAGGTACCGGGACCTACGATCAAACCGGTCCTTAGCAGAAAAAAAATTTCTTCCAGCGGTGCGTGCTGCAATAAACTGTATTCTGAGCTACATCTACTGATTCTTATTCTCCTTGTGGAGCAATTTTCAGTTCAGTGTCGATAGTAACCGGTAAATGTATGTCTTTATCAGACAAAGCTTCGTGATTGGTGTAAAAAAAAAAAGGTGCTGCACCCTAAACCAATCAGAAACGAAATTAGATGAAATTGTGGCGCGGTCAATTAGTCCGTCAGTTGTATTTCCCGCGCTTCAGGCAATCGACTTTTCTTAATCATATTTTCTTTAGAGAAAGATGTTTTTTTTTTCGTCTTGACGCTAGCGTGGGACAAAGAAAAAATCAGAAAAAAAATCCCAATGAGGACTTTTTTTTATGGGACAAAGAAAAGTTCTGAGTCCTCATGAGGACTTTGTTTCCTCTCAATGGCTATTAAAAGTTATTTGTATTAATTTTGGTCAATTTTGGACGACGACACGAAAAATGCTTGATAAATTTTTTCATGAAATAGCAATTGTATGAGATGGAGTGATTAGCCTCCAGGAACCGGATTCCAATTTTAAAGATTTATTCATATTAGAGCCTGTGGAAAACTGTACGATACGTTAATTAGTCGTAATTTGATTGACATTTGTAAGCGATTTCATTTGTGAATTACATAACCAAACAAACATGTATGCAACACGTGTGTTTTTTTCGCCCATATATGGCCTTGTTCCACGTGCTTGCTACCCCACGTTTTTTATGTCCTTTTCGGATAAGCCAGGAGCTGTGAGAAGGAGTTAACCGAAGCGTTGTAAAGAATCGTTAAATCCAATGAATAAACCATGACTTTATAAGGAAGTGTGGTACAGTTTTTTCACGTTTTCAATAAGCCTTGAATGATAATATAATGCTGCTCAATTTGCAGGATCTGTATAAAATGTAACTAATTTGCGTTGCAAGGCACTATTCGATGTAAAATAGTACGGTCTCTATTTCTGTGTGAATCATTTGAGAATTCCTTAAACACTAATTTAGCGTTTTTTAAGGTCATGAATGTTGTTATAAAAATCTGACAGAAAATTGATGTGAAAATGATCTGATTTGTCCTTTTTTACTCTTAGCTGATAGTCTCATGTAATAACCACCATTTACAATTCTCCCTTGATGTGCTTTTTACATCCTGTTTACAGCTAATGGCCATTTTTCTCTTCACTTTGATTTTCTGCTATTAATGGAATTTTGTCACATAAGCGGCGTGTGTTGCAAATTGTGTCTTACCCGACACCTCATCTCAGAACACTTGTCAATTTTATCTTATGATTTTGAGATTTAAATTTTACAATTTTCTTTCAGTGTCGAAAAGCTTCTCTGAAAACGAGGTAATACCTGGTCTCCTCTCGATCACAGACCCACGAGACCGTCTTCAATTAAGAATGCATATGAACTCAAAAAGGGGCAGGAACCGTTTTCTTGTGGGAAATCATGAAGTTTTATGTTCGGTCACTGTACATTTCCTTCTGCATATTTGGGTCATCATTTCCATCATTGTTATTATTACATGAAACTGTGTGACTGCTCTGACCATGGTATTGGGTATTAACAAAGAACTTCATTTCGCTGAAGTTATGGATCTAAGCTTTAGTTTCTTGCTGCGAAAGCAAGAAATAATCTGACCATTTTCATTGTGTCCACACTTTTATGTTGTTATTATGTTTATTTGAAAATAATGTATCTTCCTGAATGGCCTTGATGTATCATGAAGTAGTTTTATGTGACTATTCACATGTTCTGAATTAGATGATTGTTGAAAAAACGGTAGTTTACTGGGATTTACTTTCTCTCACCTGTTTCCGGTCTACTATCAACAGACCTACGAGGGAAATTTTAACTTTTGTCATCAACCTGTCAGACTGATGCAGTCTAAAACTACAATGTTGAAATCTCAAGAATCTAAGAATTTGCTAAAATCATCAATTCGTATTGCACAGTCGAACTGCTTTACACGTCGATCATGGTGTGTTTTCCTTCAAGTCATTTATCGTCTAGCGACTGGTAATGGTTTGGTGAGGAAACGCATTCTATCATTGGTATACACTGGGTTGGAGGCCCACTCGACCGCGATAGGCTGAGCTGGGATCTGGGACCGTTCGAACACAGTTTCTTTGGAATCTTTGCTAACTCTGCTCGAAATTCCTTACAAAATATCATAAAAATAACAGGATTGCAAACACAATTAGTGTACGTGAAAAGCCAACAGATAATCTTAATTGAGTTCAAATCCTGGTGTGTGTGTCCACCGCCAAAATCTGACCATAACCAGAGTACCTGGTTGGGCAGCATAAAGACGGCGAAAATTGCAACAATAACGATGAAAAGTTTTGTCACCCGTACATTCGACTCCACCTCGAAACCACGCCTCATGCTCGTAGCCACGCGAGAGCTTATCTTCCGAACCACTCCCCTACCTCTCTCTGCGTTGTTGCTCTCGCGATCTCGGCGTATTTCTCCCCTTAAGCGCATCTTAGTCGTGTTACTGGTCACATTATATAGTTTCGTCAACGCCAATGTGTACATGGCTGTCATAAAGCTGAGAGGCAGTGCGTACTGTACCAGGAACAAGATTACCGTATAAGCTTGTCTGGAGGTGAAGTTTGGCCATGCTTCCCCACAATTGTGATCTTCAAGTTTTAAGACGATGACATAGGGTACCACTACAACCGCTGACAGAATGTGAACGCTTGAGATGAGAAAGGTTATCTGTCTTTTCGTAAGACGCGGGGTAAAGGGATGCATTAGAAGGCGGAATCTGAAAAGTAAACACATTTCTTGGTATTGCAGTTAACATAAGTCAGTATCATTTCCGTCGGAGTGTTATAAATAGAAACGAAAATGCATATAAAACTCCTGAAAGCTTGAATCATTCACAACTTCACTAAGTAATCTTATTATAAAGCTTGCAGTGGCCGCGGGCATTACGAAGCGAATCCTGTGCTCTGATTGGCTACCCGAGCGGGAAAGATGAGCTTATCTTGTCCGCTGTGATCCCGTGCTAGGAAAAAAATTGCGTGAAGCGCCCGTACAAAGTTCGAAATTTTTGGACAGTGTCGGTGATGGAGTCGTTAAAGCGGCAGAGCACAGTCCAAACATAGAAAACATAAACGACCCAGTTCGTTTCCTTTCCCGGCTCTCGAAAGAAACAAGTCATTCTTGATTCTTATCAAAGTGAAATCAGTTTTTGTCATATGATTAATCTTTTAATGAGCAAGCTTGCTCGGTCAAGATGGCTGGATATTATCTTAGGTTTTTTTATTTGGGGGGCGTTTTTATGGACCTCGAAAAATGCAAAAAAAAAAAGGAAAAAAAAAGACTCCGCCAATATCATCTCGACCTCACGCTTGGTAAACAACGCATATATCTTTCCATTTGCAAGGGTTACATTTTTATAATTTTGGGCATAATTCTATAGCCAGAGCATCGAGCATGATGTCGGCGCAATTGCTAAAGTTGTTTAAAATTCGCTCCATATTACAGTCCAATAAAAGATAAATTCTGTGGCCTGAGTACTGTCACAAATGTGCCTGCTTCTCTTGTCTGCGCTTCAGGAATTCGATCCACTAAAATATTTTGTTCTGAGGGGCTCCTAAAAGCCATAATTTTGAATTATTAAATTTAGCATCATGAAACATTTTGAACATAATTTTTGGCATAATGCCTTGTTTTCATGGGGTGACGCTTAAAAGCAGAATGTTCAAATTTTCGAGCATAATTTATCTGACCCTGCCAAATGAACTGTGCTGAAATGTAAATAACTAATTCAAAGGACCCCATGCGCGAAAAAAAAAAGAAAAAAAAAAGACGTGTCTTCCCTCCTCACTGGTTTCGTTTGAATAATAAATTCCTGTTAGTTAATTAATTGACAGTATCTGAATTTTTGGAATAAATTTGGTGATAAATAATTCCGTTGGCCTTGATAAAGAATTTCCATCAGCGAAGGACCAAACTCCAATTATCTAGAATTGCTACGGTAACTTTTTGTGAAACAATCATCGCTGTATCTCTAATCATGCAAATTATAAGGTTCATTTAAAAACTCGTTCTTTACTAACCTGTCTAAGGAAATGCCCGCCAAGGTTAAGGCAGAGGCTGTAGCTGTAAATGTCGTTGCTGGCCACAACATTCGACACATTATCGCGCCGTAAGGCCACACGTAACTGCGTTCCTCCAGAGCTAAATCGAACGGGATGCTCAATAATGGCGTTAGAAAATCGCAAGCACTCAGATTTAACAACAACCTGTTCGACGAAGCTTGACGAAGCCGGCGATTGCAGGAAATTAAACAAAAGACTAGTCCATTGCCAAGTGAACTGAACGCTAAAATGATGAAATACAAAAATAACTTGGAAGTTTTGAATTCTGGTGATTCGCCGACCAAAACGTCCGTTGTCGGGTTCTCGGAAAATGTCGATCCATTTATCAAAACACATGCTGCGCTGGTATGTTCTTGTACGCTGAAACTTGTGCTCTCTTTCATGGTTGGAACCTTAAGTATATTTTGGCCTAACAGGCCAAGTAGAAACTTGTAAAAAGTGCGCAATCGAAGACTCGATCACGAATGAACGCGAGCGAAGCTGTAGAATTTCTTCCACAGCCCCCAAGTTTTGATCTGACAGGCTGAACTATTGTCTTCCGTCGTATCTCAGAAAAACGTCACTAATGCTGCAGATGTTCATCTTTGCTCAAAATAATCCCCAGATGCTACTGAAGTATATCTTTCTCAACGGTTTGGCGAAAGATAGCTCGATTGATGCTTCACTTAGGAAATCAGCAAAGTGAACTGCTTAGTTTCTTTTGTCCAAAACTGAATTGTTGCAGTTTTCGGTCCCCCAAAAAATGACCTTGCATCTCATCAACTCGCACTTTAAGTTCGCGTGATCTAGAATTAATTGAAACAATCTTGTGTTTGATACATCCTCCGGGGGAGATAAAATCAATGCTGCAATTTCTTAGGGAGGGGACCGGGGAGGTAGAAGGGAATGTTAACGCATTCTGATAAAATAAGCGAAAGAATAGGTGTTTTAGTACTACGTTTCGCAATGAAAAGAAGAAAACCAAACAAAAATTCAACCGCTATAAAGTATTTACTGCGAATAAAACTTCTAATGCTGTTGCTATAAACTATCGGGTAACTAGCATAACAGCGGAGCGTGACACAGAAGGCCCAAGGAATGTTACGCTCAATTGAAAAGTCTTAAGTTAGACGTGCCCGGCTTGAAAAATCTGAAGTTGGCTTCCAAATCTTTTCTTGAATTAAAATCTTGAAATCATAGAGTGAAATTCACGGCGTTACGTTGTCACACAAGACTACCTTAGCCTTCCCCTACACGCGACTTAAGCCTCCCCTGCCTCGTTCTCAAGTCTTCTTGTTAACAGATCTAGTTTCTGTTATGGTATGCAAAATTGATTTCTAACTTAAGCGGTCTGTGCGTGCACTGCAAAGACCATCGTTCCTTCAGCTCAAATGAGGTGCAAATTTTTCTTAAACCCTGTTCAGTTTTTTTTTTTTTTTCCGATCAGTACTTCACTTTTCGCACATGATGCATAAGGACCGGTCTTTTAAAATTCTCTCAAAGTAATCGTCTATTGGCTCCATGAGTAGCAAAGAAGTCGGCATACAGCTTTAGAACACAATTATATCATGTGCACGGTTTATTGACCTTTTCAAGTGGGTCCTCGGAACATCATGAGCGTTTACGATCAAACTTTCGCGGGCGTAATTGTTGACAAGAATAATAATAAGGTAGGTTAAGAAAACTTTTTCAGTGGCAATAATAATTACAAAGGGGAAAATATTAAGTGGAATTCCCATTTAAGAGGGCAATTTCTCTGGATTAATTTTCACCTTGAAACGCAGAGAAACTGGAACGGAATAGATCGAGCAAATTGGATAGCGCGCTATAAGTCCCGATGAATGATTCGACTGTATTGTCGACAAAAATCTGAAAAATGCATTTCATTTTAAGAACGCCCAAAAATTATATGATTACCCTCTAATTGCTATGCCTCAGGCAACATGACAAGTAGTTTAACATTTTGTTTTGATTTTTTTTAGATTCTTAAGCATTACGAGCTGTCAAAGAAAAAACAGTGAAAAGGAAAAAAAAATAAGGCAGCACGCCGCGCGAAACTCTGAAAGAAAGGCTCATGAAAAGAAGTGACTACAGGCTAAGCCAGAGAGTTTGATTTCTGCGCTCCGCTCAGAAGGCAAAAATATGAGTGGCTATCGACCAGAATTCTGTGAGTAAGTGGTACACTAAAATCAAATTTTTCTTCATTCATATTTTTTTAATTGCGCGATGGACTACGAGGAAGGATTGCTCGTAGTCTGCAGTATTCTGGATTTGTGTTTTTTTTCTCGCGCACTTTGACCGGGCATCATTTTTACTACTTTTCCCTTTTTTATCAGCGAGTGGTGGAGGCTGAGAAGAACCAACACTACTTGAGGGGCCAGCAAAGCTTGGCAATAATAAGTACGACACAACAACTTGTATGCGTCCAGCTTCCTTACATTCTTATAAATAACGATTTACATACGAGAATTTGCCCGGCGACGATTCGAAGTTATTGCTTCACAGGATAACCTCAAAAACCTCAGCCAAAACCTAAACTTGGCAAAAGACGCCAAAAAAAATACCAACGACTCCCAAGCAACGCACATGGCGCGGGAAACTCTACCCTTCGTATATTGTCAGCGGCGCTATAGATTTTAAGTAAATTCAACGAATCATACAACTCCCCTCCAGCCGGGACATGTTCATCCCCTATAGAAGTCCGGTTATGAGTAATGAAAGTGTAAATTTTGAAAGTCTTTTAACTGAAAAACCCCAAAACTAACAATGAAATGAAAAAGGCTTGACAATTCCAAACAGTGTATGAGGTTCTGTGGACAATAACTCAAAAAGGTTGAAGACTTAAAATCAAACTTGATAAAATAAAGGTCGATGTGAACCTACCGCCAACTGAACAACTGAGTAATTGAACTGAGAAAGAAACGCAGTCGGGCGACAAGATGTGTTTATTTGCTCCTAAGGATCATTAATTGATAGGATATCAATAACTCGCACTCAGATTAAACTTGTCAGCTAATTCAAATGGTTTTAAGCTTTAAAAGATTTTCACAAACTCATAAAACATGGAGAACCTGCACACTTTTCTACCTAATGAGGTTACAGTTCATAAGCTTTTTTTGCAGCTAATCACTTTAATTAATTTACAATATGCGTGAACGTTGTTGTGTAAGCTGCGGTGCATGTTAACTTTATACAGCCTTGCATTAAAATGAGTTGGAATACTATGTCTCATTACAAGCGTAGTAACCGCGAAGCGCTCCTCAGGGGAAGGGAGAGGCTCTTGCGTTAATTCTCCCCTCCCCTCACCTTATTTCATTTACTTCTCGGCGCCAGTTCTCTCGTGATATTTCGAGCATATAATCTATTTGTTGGTTATAAGCGCATTTAAGTTACGTTGTCCTATGGGTAAATAATGGAGTGAAAGAGTTACCATCGTGAATAAAATTTGTGGAAGGACAACCAATCGAGGCGTAAGAAAAGATGCTTATTTGTTATGAGCGCTCAGAGAATAAAAACAATTCTAGGTCCTCGGTTAGGATTCAATCGACCAATCTTCCAATTCCTCGTTTGGTTGCTCGAGTAATTGAGTCCTCGAGAACTCTTAGGTGTGCAAGGTGTGACACGAAGATGACATGTAACAAACGTTATTTTTTTACTGCTAAAATGAGGACAACATTTTACCCTTCCTGTTGATTGTCCGACTTCCGGTACTCTACGCGCCATGACTTCCGGTAATATTACTAATTACTTCGTCTGGAAGGTGTTGCGAATATAACTTAGCCTATCCCGTTAGATAAACACATTCTACCATCGGAATCTGTTTGTGTGGATTGGACGTGTATGATCTTCCGAAGGTTTCAAGAAAGTTTACTTCATTGAATCAAACCGTATAAAACAACTGCAGAACCACGCAAGGAAAGAAGAAAGCTTGAAACGTATTTATACTAGTGCCTGTAGCGGCGTTGATATGCTTCGGTGAACAACTCACGAATTCTCTACGAATGTCATCTGTAGGAGTGGTGATTGTATTACTTGTGATATTATGCGCACTCTTGGAGTTGTTATTGATGTTGCTTGTTGAGTTGTTTTTCAGCAGCTTTGTCCAGGGGTTGTCAAGGTCACGCACTACATTGCATCGATCCGGAATCTTGGAAGCTCCAGGGTCACGGTTGTTGTCGCAGTAAGGATTGTAATTGTTTTTGATGAAAGTCAAATCAATCAGTTCTCGGTATGATGTTGGTAACTTGGGGCAGGTTGAAGCAAAGAGCTTTCTCACACACTCTGTGGCCTTAGCATGTTCCCTGTTGAAATTCGATGGAACGTTAGGTAACATTGATGCGTTAATCAGTTCGAAGCTGCAACATCCCCCGCCGGGGCAAACCTCCGGACATTGGAGATTGGTTCGTTTCAATGCCCTTCCCCCCACCCAAGCACAAAATTTTGTTCAAATGCTCCATATCGACTTACTAGCAAAGATCTGGATCAGTCTTGTCTCTGGCAAAAGTCCCTTGAAAGGACTTTAAACAGTTGTTTAGATTAGTGCTGAACGATTCGGGGCAATGAGCGGCCAAAACTTCCAACGAGTGTGAAGTAGGTAATCCCAATGCCCCCTCATGGCACATGGAAGTTTCTGTGAATTGTACTCGAACACTTTCAAAGTGACGCGCATAATCTGTTCCAAAGCAGATGTTGTATGTCCTTCGTATACAATTGATAGTTTTGTTTACCTTGGCCCTAACAATGGAAATAAAAAGGACGGTACGTAAAATTATAAAGTCAGTCCAGGAGCAGGAAAACAGGTGTCCGTTAAGCGTGAAAATTGACAAATTCAAACCGATGATAGTAAAAGGAAAGTTAACCATAGAAATTTTTTTGGTAACCGCAAAGGAACGAATTCGAAAACGTTAGCCGTAAAATGACTAAAACTGTAACCGTAAGCCGTAAAAGCCAGAGGGTCGCCCCAGGGATAAACCCTGGGATAACTCCCGTGGTATAACCTTAGCGGCACTTATCGGATTCATAGCACAAGGCGACAAGGATAATAGTCCTTCACCTCGGGTGACATGCATTTCCAACCGCTCCCCTCTCCATTTATATCCCTGCGTAAAATGTTTTGGCAAAGAAGAAGGAGTCCGCTGCATTATAATGTAGGCAACCCCGTCTTGCTTATTGAAAGAAAGCCGAGTTAAAATTGAAACAGTGGCGGACTTTCTGTAATTTTATACTCCCCCTAAACTACATCGGAAATAAGACGAAAATTAGTGTCGCAATCTCAGCGGCTTATTTTCAGCTCATAACGGGTTAGGGCAACTCAAAAAATTAAACAACAATAACAACAAAAATAACTGGAACAATGGAGATGAGACAGGTTGTAACTTACCCACAGTCTCCCACGGAATCGTTCTGCAGTTCTTTGATGAACATCGTGACGCATTTGCGCATGTCACAGAAGAGTTCCAGAAATCTACAATCGCCAACATATGAATTGGACAGGGTAGCCTCGTTTCCACCCAGGAAAACTAAATCAAATCATACAGGTTAGAAACAAAAACGCGTATTTATCTGACCCCATATTCGATATCATCTGGTATCAGGCGAGCACCTGATTTTACCTCTTACTACTTGAAATTGGTTTATTTTACGTGAAGATATGGTTGAAGAGTGAATTTATCTTTCTAGCACCTCGGAGGTGAATGGTGTATGGTGTATAGACCTGTCGCTACTGTGCTAGGCAACTATTGAGCAACATTTGGCGTTTGGAGCAACTTTTTGCGGTTCTTGCAACCTTGAGCAGTTTTGCCTTTCTGTGCAGTTTTTGAGCAAAATATAAGTTTGGAGTCCATATTAAGCACGAAAAGTCAACGATCTCCTACAAAAACTAAAGTTTATGAGAGTTTCATGAATTTTGATCAACCTTTCAAACACATAGCCTGTGACTGACAACGTTTTGAAGGTCTATTGCAATCGTTGTCTAATATGATAACGGATAATTGGCTAAATTGACGTCCAGCAAGACATGAACCATATGTTTTGTTCAGTGAAAGTTAGATATCCTTAAAAATTAGCCCATATTTGCGAGCAACTCTAAGTTTCAAGCTATTTTTCTTGACCGATGTTCGCAGTTATTGTGAATAACGAAAAACGGACTTTTAACTGACGTTCACATGAAAGTATAATGAAATTTAGGTAACAACTTTTGAAATTTAGGTGGCAACTTTTTGGATTTTTACCAATTTTTTTGGAAACTTTTTCGGTCTTCCAGCGAGCAACTTTCCAGCCTTGTAAAAGCACAATCAGGACAGGTCTTATAGTGCAGTACAACTTGCTTATCATATCTGAGCCTGTCAATTAATTAGCGGGAGCTAAAAGCAATATCACCCGTTGTGTTTTATACTTATTACAAGTACTTAGCGAAAACCTTTGATAAGTGAACTATAAGATGAAACCTTTTGGTGACCCAAACCCTGTATGATGTGAACTTTTGAAGTGGCTCCTTTCGACTTGACTTCGTTTAAAGGAAACGAAATCGTTTCATATCATATGACTGAAAGGCATCTGCAATATTTTTATTTTTAGCTTTGCTCTCGAGTCAAATGTGGCAAGTTGAAGTAGCTAGACTTTAGAGAGCACAGAAAATATTTGTAAGTCGTAAAATTACAAATCAAATTTACAAGAAATAGAGGAAACATCTTCACTGCACGTCGGCCTCGGTAAAAAAGGAAAAAACATTAAAACCCGGCATTAAAATCCTTGATCTCAATAAGTTTCTAACTTGCGTCAATCACATTTTTATTAATTAATTGCGAGAAATCACAAGCTAATCCTAATGAATATTGCAATGGTACAAAATTGTGCATTTATAGATATTTTCTCAGGAGATCTGATAACTAAACAACCTTTCCTAAGAAAATTTAGAACTGCAATTTTAAATTTAACTAAATGAAAGCTCCTTGTTTATTTGGCATATTTTGCTTCTTTTCCGTTTTAATATTTAATATTTTGGTTGAACTAGTGCCAGACCGCAGTAGACAGCTGATGAATTATAACAGTGTGAATTTCAAACCACCATACTCCTGTGTAAACCCACAAACCACTTTCTCTTACACTCAGAAAAAGATTTCTCTTGGAACTTTCTCACTTCTTAGCCACTATGGACATTTTCCTCCGCCAAAGCCTTAAAGCCAAACTCGATATTTATCAAATCATTGAGGATTCAAAGCGCACCGTCGATTCCCCTTCGAAATTTACAGTAGGTCTTAAGAAAGTACTAATTAATTTTGCAACTACTTACAAGCAAGAAAAAAATGAAGACTAGACATTTAAAGCTATATGAAGAGTTTATCAGTGTAAAATCGTAATTGCATCTCGAAGCGAAGTTGTATATAAATCACTCCTTCTGAAACAATATAACCTTATTTTCATTAAAAATTGGACTCGCGCCAAGTTCATTTACGCGAAAGAAACTTGAAATTTATTTTGAGATTGCTTAAAAAAGGCTGGGTGCAGAGCAATCCTCTAAATCTCCATCCGCCAAAATTTAGATTTAAGCTCTTAACTTACGCGCCACAAGACAAAAGAAGTATTTTTTCTTAACAGCAAAAATAGCATTTTAACTCCCACCTAGATCTTGACTTCTTCTCCTATATTTAATATATTTTGTCTGCAGATTAATATAATTATCTTCATAGTTAGCAAGCTTTCAAAATTCTTTCTATTCTCTGAAACCTAGAGACTGAAAAACCTTAACTGTATATACCAAAAGGAGATTTATGGATAATTCATGCAGGTAGTTTTGGATGCATTTCAATGAGCAAATTTTGGCCAAGACTTGATAAATTTCATATTCGTATTTTCACGATTTATGGTATGAAGTCGCAATATTCTATGCTTAGATAAGCAAACAACAGGATGATATAACTCGTCCCTAAAATGAGTTGGCATAAATAAGGAATACCAAAGATTGCTTATAGACAGTGCTTTCTAAAAGAGTCACTGTTTCAGTAGCAAAATGGCTACCTTCCGTCGTGAATTTACAGTTTCGCATAGTCATGCAGAGAAATTGAAAACATAGACATCAAAACTAAAAACAGTATGCCACCATCTGTCAAGAATTACAAACACTTAATTAATCTCGAAATCTTTCCGGCTAACCTGAAGTGAGCCAAGTTAATTAAAGGACTCATTTTCTTACCGAGAAGGAAAACTACGGCGAAGAACGATCGCATCCGAATTGCCACCAGCTCCTCCATAAACGTCGAGCGAAGAGGGAAGAAGAATTGAGGCCTCCTTCAAAGATGAGCCGACACTCCTGGTATCAGTCGTCAGCAAAATCAGGACATACCTACCACTTCCGAACGATTACATTCCGAATTAGTCCGACTTCCAGTGCGACGACATATTACGATTGCATCCCGAAAAAACCCCGGCGGCTAAACCGATCCTTAAGCACGACCACGAGTAAGCAGCGAGATCAAAGCACGCCGATTCGCGATACAGTCCTACTAATCGATCAAACTCAAGAAATAATCACGATTGCAGCCCGAAGAAACCCGACGGCGTGCCCGATTCATAGGCACGACTAACAGTGAGCAGAAAAATCAAAGCAGGCAGAGTCATGGACAAAATTCAAGAATTCATATTGATTGCGGCAGTTTTGTCTTACCGTTTCCTGTGATATGATTGGTCTAGACAAAACCAAAACAAACTGGCGTGGCCGAGAGAGGATTGGAACGATACTTTTCTTGCCAGCTTTCTCGTGGCGGCCATTTCGTAATGCGAAAGGAACGGCAAAACAGAATGAAACATTTCAAAAAAAAACATCATTGACTAATTTATTTCTGTATTACAGTATTACAAATCTAATTTTTGACAGGCATGTCATCATGTTGTTTGCTCGCAGTGGTTTGTTATCAAATTCTATCCGTTTCCGGTGACATGTCTAAAAGACACCTCGCGGAGAGCATCGACCGATGAAATTACATATTTACTTCAATTCCATCTGCAATTTCTTCATGAATGAAAATGTCTCGTATTAGAAGTAGTTCTGCAAGAATTTCAGGGAACACTTCAACCAACTTTAACCACCGGTTGTTTGTTTGCTTGATTTTAAGGGTGCCCTCCGGCTTTTTCACACAAGGGCAGAGTCTTCTGCACGATGAGATGTCCGCAAAAAAATTATCAAATTCTATCCTTTTCCGGTGAGATGTCTGAAAGATAACCTCGTGGAAGGTAGCGACCCATGAAATAACATATTTATTTCAATCTCATCTGTAACTTCAAAATAAATGTTAAAGGAAATGTCTTGTGTTGGAAGGACAGTAGTTCTGCACGAATTCTAGGGAACGCGCTTCGGCAAGCCTTAGCCGCCGGTTACCTTTTTGCTTGATTTGTAGGGCGACCTCTCGCTTTTTTACCCAAGGGAAGTCTTGTTCGCGACGGGTTGTCCACAGAAAAAGATCATTAAGGTCTAACATTTATTTTTGTTTACCTGAGTCTTCCCAGACGTTTCTTCAGACGTTTGCATGCCGAACAGACATATTTGAGATGCCGGAATTTCCTCAGAGTCCGGGTTAATATTAATTTGAATTTAAATACCGAAAGCTCATCTAGAATGAGCTTCTATAAGACCGTCTTACTCGGCATTCCTTTATCATAAAGTCGATAGACTGTTCTCAAGAGCTGAAACGATAAACAAAAGGACCTTTAGGAATACTGTGAAAATCGATAGCTGGCAGAAGCAATAATGCCATGACAGCTGAGGCCGGACAACAAGTCACAAAAACATCGACCTTGTACTCAAAATAAACTACGCGCACTCAACTTCTGTTTTAATGAATGTGAAACACAAAGATCGAGCTTTACCGTAATGTTTTTATTTTTTCCAAAAAGAAAAAAAATCATTACAAACACTGAATTAATCTCGAAATCTTTCCGGCTAACCTGAAGTGAGCCAAGTTAATTTAAGGACTTATTTTCTTACCGAGAAGGAAAACGAACGATCGCATCCGAATTGCCACGAGCTCCTCCATAAACGTCGAGCGAAGAGGAAAGAAGAATTGATGTCTCCTTCAAAGATGAGCCGACACTTCTGGTATCAGTCGTCACTAAAATCAGGACATACCTACTACTTCCGAACGATTACATTCCGAATAAGTCCGACTTCGTGACAAAATTCCAGTGCGACGACTTATTACGATTGCATCCCGAAAAACCCCGACGGCTAACCCGACTTTGAGCACGACCACGAGTAAGCAGTGAGATCAAAGCACGCCGATTCGCGATACAGTCCTACTAATCGATCAAACTCAAGAAATAATCACTATTGCAGCCCGAAGAAACCCGACGGCGTGCCCTACGCGTACTCAAATTCTGTTTTAATTAATGTGAAACACAAAGATCGAGCTTTACCGTAATGTTTTTATTCTTTCCAAAAAAATAAAAAG